CAACGCCAACCAGTTGAGGTGACCTCTCGGCCAATAGGCGCTTGACACGTGTCCCTGTCCGGCATTTATTGCTACTATAAATAGCACCCCATTTCCCCATTTGTAACCACGCTGAAAACGCTCCACATTTATAATACACACTCTCTCTCTACATTTACTTGCTCTGACTTCTCTCTAAGTTATTCCCAGCAATAACCCTTCGGATATATACCCCCGGGTAGACTATCCATCACATACCTTTTATAAAAATTGCTCAATATAAAACTAAAACACACACAAAGTTCAGAAATAAGACTAAGTATGTTATATTCTCCAAATAGGACTTATGTAGTCCTACTAAAAGAATAAGTTAACTAAAATAGAAGTGAATGAGCCCTATTTTGGAAATAAAACAACGAGATCCCTATTTATGAACTTAATGTTTGTATTAGTCATATTTAGAGAAATTTCTCTACCTTTTATTATTCGTGAACAAAAAAACTCTAAAAAAAAATTATTAAGGAAATGTTGACTTTAAAACGTGCAAATCTATTTTTGTGTATAATGTGATATTTCCAAAAAAAAAAACGGATATGAATGAGTGCAGTCTGAACACTTAAATTGTATACACCATAAAACTTCATATAGTAAAACAACTTATACACATATTCAAATAGCAAATCTCATTACGACACCAAAAAATAAATTCTAAGACATAATTTGACACAAATAATGCATAATAATGATAGAACAAGACCAAGTCAGTACAATCATCTTAATCCCACAACACTCGAATTAAACTCATCATCTTTATTATGACGGATGACATATGAAAAAGTCGTGTGATTGCTATGTTTATTATTTTGTTTATATCCAGTAGTTTACGCTAGAAGAAACATTAAGTTTAAAAAACTTAATTTTGCGATGCAGGATTGAAAAATGTTAGGAACCTAGTAATATTCTAAGTTTTGGTCTTTTAGAACTCTATATTTAGCCCCCATGCATTTAATTTTAAAATTTAAGAATTAAATACTTTGTATTGTAACAATACAAACACCAAGCAGACACGGGAACGGTTCCTTTTTCATTTAAATTATTGTTTATCTCTTATATATTTAAATCATTCATTGAATTGATCAATTAATGTTTCTATTTTTTTTTGTAAAATATGGAAAATAGACATTTCTCTCCATAAGTTTTTTCGTTTTAAACGGACCAAGATTACTTTCAAAGCAAGAATAATAATAAAAGTATTGTGATTCTTCTTAATGTATGCTATAGTTTAATATTCATTACATTTTTTGTCAATTATTATGCGTACGATGTTACTATATTATGTTACTGATTTATGTCAAAGATGTGGGTACATGGTTTCGTTGTGTTTAAGTTCCGTTAAGGCTTACAATCATATAGAGAAACTCTATTGAACATTAAGAACATCACACACACACACACACCATATAATAATGTATATTTCTATCGGCGGTACTTATGTGGTTATCTTTTGGTATTCATAGTTTAGATCTCAACTTTTATTGTAACTTGGAAGCATAAAATAAGTTTAACATACTTCTACTTGTACACCATAGCCACAAATAATTAAAATGCAAAGACAAATTATAATACAATGATTATCTCGAGTCTTATCTTATAAAATGATTTTGTCGCATTTTTCCAACAAGATTGTTGATGGCATACACTCGTGAACAACGTTGCTAAGGACTTACACTGCTCTTAGATTTTTCAGACCTTTGTGATCGGAGCTTACTTTACTCATCTTCTGAATCTAAGCCACACTCTATTGTTGCTCTGTAGAAGAAGACGCCACTGAGTAAGTACCATAAGCCATTCCATCACTCGGAAAATTTTTACTCTGGAAAAACATTAATTAATTAAAGCAAACGGGTCATCTAATTAGATACGGAGGGAGTAGCATGCAACAAAGAGTGTCCTTTCCATTCTTCTCTTTTGTTTCAACATCATGGTAACTTTTTGCAGGGTATCACCAGTTTTATATGTGGTTTTGGAGGTCGTGTAAGCTCTCAACAGTAAGTCTAATTTAGTCATTTTATTCACTCTTCATAATGTATTCAAGAGTGTGCTTGAATTGGTCAAAGCCCTCTATGTTCTTATTGAAGTGAATTATTACTTTCTCTTTTCAACTATTAGAGTATTGTCCTAAACAAAGTTTTAATTTTTGTGATGTGTGAATTGCCCAACAGGTCGGTGTGGCGTATTTGTTGGATCTAGAAAGTGCAAATAATCTCTCTGTCTCTCCTAGATTGAATATGATAGGTATATTATGTTCCATAGACACATTATCTACTTACCAAATGTCATAACGTGATTAAATTTCATGCCATATCCAGATTTGATGCATTCGGGAGTTGGAGCTCTTTCAAGCTTTTTTATCCCCTTTCTAATTCATAAAATGAAGTTGCCTATAAAATTTGTTAAGGCATTCAAGTGTTAATTGTAAATGTGGCAGTTATTTCCATATAGTTTGGTTGATGATCAAGAAAAAAGGTATTGTAACACTATAATGAAAATAATTTATGCATTATGGTTTTGTATATCCATAGTTAAGTATTTGTTCAGTTTAGAATTTTCCCAATATTCTTTCTACTCAAGTTTATTAGGGACTTTTTAGTGCAATAGGTCTGCTTTCACTAAATGTTGTTTTCAAAACACACCCGTTGCCCTTTGATGCCTAGACTAGATGCTTTTGTGCATATATCATAGGGAGTATTTGATTAAATTCTTATTTATGTAAAGATCACATACAAGACTAGAAGCTTTTGTAGTTTTGTGCATATATTATATGAAGTATATACTAACAATCTCTTACCTTCAAAAATATATTCGAACAAATTAATTAGGTGTAATTTAGATTATGTTGGTTTTAAGGATAAAATCGATGTTTCAATATTGGGACAAAGCAAGTTAAAATGGAGTCTTTTAATGATGTTTTTACTTAGATCGTTTTTAGTCTAAAACCAGATCCAATCAGACCAAACTTGGATAATTATAAAATACACAGGGATCAGACATCTACCAAACCAGATTAGACTAAAAAATTTCATTCCAATTAAAAATATCTTAAGTTTTAATTTCTAACCATTGATGAAACTAACTTGGTTGGGTAATGGGTAAATTGATGTTCAGAACTAATCTTTTGTTTTTATAATAACAAAATACTGTAAAAGAATTTAAAAGTTCTTATAGTAGCATATTCTAGAGACTATAGTAGTATTGTACGCCTACAAAGCTTTGCAAAATTTATTTTTTAATAGTTTAAAAAAATTCTACTCCCTCCGTTCCCAAAAATACTTCTCACTTTCCTTTTTGGGTTGTTCCCAAAAATACTTCCCACTTTCCCATTTTGGACAATTTGTGTGGCTCACATTCATTTTACCTTTTCTTACACAACCACAACCATACATTTCCATTTTATTCCACTTTCTTAATAAGCGTGCCAAGTCAAACCGGGAAGAATTTTTATGAACGGAGGGAGTATTTAGAATAATAAATATGTGGCTAAAGTTATTTTTCTCTCATCTGTACAAATCTTAGGATGTTTTCATGAGATGAAAGAAGTATCTAATACTACGGGGGAGTTTGGAAAATGGCATTTTAGACAAAAAAATGCCGGTTTGACTAAAAGCGGTTTTAATAAGTGAAAACGATGTTTGGTAAATAAATGTTCGGCCCTAGCATTTTTGGACGGAACCGCTGAAGTGGAAACACCGCAAATCGGAGACTTTTGGGTTAGTATTTTGAAACATTTATGGCCAAACACCTAAACCTGCTGACTGAATTCGCTATTGATAATCCGCTAACACAATCCGCTATTTACTAACTGCTAAGCGCTAAATGCCAAACACACTCATAATCTAAAATTCAAAATTACATTCTAGTTAGTTTTCTACCCCGTGCAATGCACGGGTGAAAAACTAGTTGAGAGCTACACCACCGCAGATCAAGAGCGAAGCGATCCCAGTGATGACGGGGCAATGAGTCAGGCGAGCCAGGTGAGGTGGACGTGAACTAGATAAGAGATTCGACTGTGCGAGGGAAGCTCTGAAGGACAACGAGCGGTGCATAGAAACACACAAAGTTAGACGGCAAATTATATGGTACACCCGGGTGTACATGTACACCCGTATTTTTGCAATTAGTAATAACTTTTAGGATAATAAATAAGTTGAGTGGTTTTCGTTTTTTTCCACCGCATGCGTGTAGTGCTCCACTGATCCTGCGCTTCCCTTGCCCTGAACGTGAGTGGGCTGATCAATACATATTTTTATTCTCCTCCTTTCTACTTCAATGGTTCTGCTTTCTTTTTAATTTTTTTATTCTCCTTTCTTTTATTGTTTCGTTCTTCTTTTATTGCTTTTACGTTTTTCCTTCTTTAGTTCTTTCTTTTTCTTATTTTTTTTATTTTAATCTTTATTCAATTACAAAATATTTTAGATATTAATGTTTTGTTTTTCAATATCTCATTGCGTAAGTTACGTATGCACATTTAATATTCATTTTATGTTCATTTTAAAATGTCATATCAATACACAAATGAAATGAGTTTTATGTTAAATTCAAATGAGTATGACGTCCAAAATGAATACGCACTCGAAAATTTTGAATAAGCACACAAAAATGCGTTTTTAAATTTTTTGATACTCATTTCATAAGTTATGTATGCTCATTTGGTAGTAATGGTATGCTTATTTTAAAATGTCATATCAATAATGCATATTTTAAAAATATTATACTACATTAAATTCACATATTGTTTTTAATTCAAATCGATTATAGACATAATTTCAGAAATCTTTTTTAAACAAATAAAAAAAATTACATTAGAAGATTTGAAGCAGATTTCACGATACTCATTTTTAGGCTCCTATTACTCAAAAGAATAGACATAATGCTCATTCCAGACAAATCGTGATTTTCATCAAAATTACAAAATTAGCCAGATATGTATGGTATACGAACTGAAGTTAGACTGTACCTGTTTAGAATTATTTCCCCCCTTTTAAAAGTATAAACCATCCGAATTCGATTTGTGATTGAATGTGGTGGCCAGTGAGCGCCATTCTCGAAACCCTTATTTAACCCACCGCAATTAATTTCGTCCTTCCCTTGGAGGTTTTTACCGGAAGAACTCGAAAGTGCTGAACTGCTCGTTTTGAAACTAGACTAGAAGCATAGAATGCCTAAAAGGTTCGGAAAGCGAAAGGAAAACGACGGCTCTGCGTCTGAAGGCGATGACCATCCTAAGAAGATTACCAAGACCAACGATTCCGATGAATCCGACGACATCGTGGTGTGCGAGGTATGCCGTACACCCAAACTCTATGTATTACCATGTTTTTACTCGTATTCATTGTTTTATGGTTGAGATTTTGTACAGATTTCGAAGAATCGCAGGGTTTCTGTGAGGAACTGGCAGGGGAAGGCTGTAGTTGACATCCGCGAGTTCTATTTGAAAGACGGAAAACAGCTGCCAGGGAAAAAAGGTTCAATATTTCTTTCGTCAGAATCTTTTTTCTCTATTCCGATCGTATGAGTTTAACTTTGCTGTATGTGTCCTTTTTATGAAAATTTATTTTTTGGAACATTAAACATGTGCAAATAGGACGCGAATTTCAGTGCTCAGCGCTAGTTACTAGGCTGAGTATCCCTTTCTCAGCACAAGAGTATGCCACCTAGTTAGAACGATTCACAAGACTGAGTTAGAACGATTCACAATTCTGGGATACTCAGGAAGTACTTTACAGTTTATGTTACTCGGTGGTGAGTAATTTGGTAGAATGAAATTTTAAAGATTTCAGAAATGGAATTGAAGTACTTAAAATTTGACAAGTTAGGATGCATTAAGATGAGAACTCTCCATAGATTCCGAATTTATTCTAGAGCCATATATAGATTTCTGTGATATCAGTGGCATTATGACTATTATCTTATGAAACCTTGAAGGCAAGTACTTTTTCTTCTAAGTTATTAGTCATTACATTCCTTCTTACCTTTTCAGTTCTTCTTCATCCTAGTATAGCGTGTTGAGTAACCTATGACATCAATATAAGCTCTATGGCAAAAGTGCAATATAAACAATAATACCTAGTATGACCTAGGTGAATTTCAAACATTTTATGCAGATCTTTTTATGGCATCTTTCTTGTTTTTCTCTATATATAGATCAGGCTAATTGGGTCTTTGAAAGGACAGCATAAAATGAGCTCAAACACAATGCCCCTTATTCGTACTTGGTAGAATCATTTCAACAATACAAACAATAAAAAACACATATATTCATGAAATTGATAGGTTGAAATGTTGAATTTTATTTGGGCTTTAAACTACAGGATATCTTACCAACTTCTAATAATATATACTGGCTGATATTTTTCAACTTCAAATCATATATACTCACTGTATATCTTTCCTACTTCTAATAATATACACTGACATATATGTTGTATGTTCAAGAAACCTGTGGAAGTGTATTATTCTTTTATTTTAGTTGCATGAGACTTAGTTGCATGAGCTAAGTCCTTTTGGCTTATAGAACTAACGCGTGAGGCGCTAATGGATGTATGCACCTCAAGGGACTAAGGCACGCATATATTCACTGCAAAGCGGTTATCCTACTATTTGTACATATATGATATCTTGTGCTCAAACACAATCTTACTGTAAACCAAAATTTCATACTAAATCAGTCAAACACTGACAAAATAAAGAAGTCATGACTCGTACCAAGAAAGAAGGGGGGTCTTGGCGCACTGGTTAAGGTGTTGCTTTGTGACCAAGAGGTCATCATGAATTCAAGTCTCATGAGTGGTCTCTTGTCAAAATTTGAATGAGAAGATTTGCTCCTTATACACCATTGTGGTGGGACCCTTCCCTGGACCCTCTCCTTGAGAGGATGCCTCCTTGCTCCGGGCTGCCCTTTTTTTAACTCATAACAAGGAAAAAGTAGACCGGAAGTGTATAACTAGTATTGCCCAAGTCAATAAGCAATGTGCCTTACTATGCGGTTGAATGGAGAAGAAGCTCTTAAACTACATAAAAATGGCAAAACTGCATACAAGTGGTAAAATTATTAAGCATAAATGAAAATGCATAACTCATGCATAAAACTGTAGCAGCTTGCTATCATATTCTATGATGCAGTAAAAGTGGAGATTCGATGGTGCAGTAGCACAAAGAATGGAGAGACAAATTCAAAAAATTAAAAGAGATGGCAGAACTTAGAAGGAAGAAGAAAGAAGAATAACTTACTGCGAAGAGGGACCTAGGGGGGATCAAGAGCTGGCATAATAGGAGGTGGCAAGAGCTTGGTGCTATCATGCCCCTAGCGCCTACCGCCCTAGACTCCTAATGCGCACTTTCTAGAACTAAGGCATGGGGTGTCCATGCCTCTTCCCCCGCTCCTTATTGTTTTAAAAATGTGAAGTATTTCTTTGCCATGAAAAACCCTCTTATCATTTCTATGTTAGGATGATTCTTTTTACGGGAATTTAGTTACTTGGTTTCATTGCTATTTAACTCCAATATGTGAAATGTGAATTATGCACTTATTCCTACTAATCTACAATCTCTTTAATTTTTCTTTTCCAGGCATTTCATTAACCAAGGATCAGGTGTGCCCAGTTGCCTTTTCTATTGATTCTAATATTCTCTTTTTAATATTTATGAGCTCCGTTAATATTTAACTTTGCTCATTACCCCATTTGTTTGCAGTGGAATGTACTTCGTGAACATGTGGAAGAAATTGACAAGGCGATGGCAAAAGGATGACAAAAAAATATCAGTAGCAAGTTGCTCATTATATTTTGGATGATGAAAAAAGGAGGAAATCAATCTTATTGCAGGAATCAAAAAAATTTAGGCATTTCATATGGGTGGAATGATGTAAGTTGTTGCATTTTGACTACAGTATGTGGGTGGGAGTCCCTTAAACCCAGTAGTATCTCTTTTTGTTTAGCAATATAAGTCATTCTAGTATCCAGCTGTCGTTATGTCCTTGTTTTTGTGGTTTGATATGGTAGCTGCAATCCCTGCAAATGGTTCGGTAACTTCCGCTAACCGAATGGTTGAAAATTACTTTTGCGGTTTGGCCAAAATGAGCCGTGTAGCATTTCGTAAACTGTGTTTTTTGGGCAATTGTGGGTTGGTTAGCACTAAGTTACTAGTTATTAACAATTATTGAGAAATGTATTTATGTAGAAGTGTAGAACACACAATTGTACAAATTCATTCATTAAAATCAATACTCCGTATAAAAATAATAATACTAGCAGTTTGGAAGCAACAACCAATACAACCAATATTTCAATCTATGACCTTATTAGTTTTTAATAAAATAATAACCTTTGTTTATGCAGAATAAAATAAAATAATAACCCGTCATTTTATAAAATAATAACCTTTCATCCCATTTTACATGTTTTACTTCCTAAAATAAATGTCATGATCTTATTTGGAAACAAATATGTGCTCCACATGATTTCACTTTTCTATATATTAAAATATGAATCACATTTTTTTTCTTTTTGATGGCTTTATTAATAATTGTGTCAAATTATAACAGAACACGTAAAATGGGATATAGGTAGTTAATAATTAGTCTCACAATCCTTTAAAATTTTGTCACATTTAATCGGCATGGAAAAATAAAGTAAAAAATCTATGATTGAGGAATGTGAAGTGGAGAGGAAAATCACAAATTAGTTAATCAAAAGAGAAAGTGGCAAATTTTTGGTATAGTTAACAAATAAATATGACAAAGTTATACTCCCTCCGTCTCACTAAGATTGTCCAAGTTCTTATTCACTTGGTCATCACAAATCACTCTTAATCTCTTATTTTATATATAAAATTTGATTCTGGTTTTTGCGACATTGAAAAGCTTTTAATGTAATTTTTGAATATGTAATTTTTTTCCTAAAAATAATTTGAGTGCGGACAAAGATTTGTTTGCTTTATCGTCAGTCAAGCAATGCAAACCGAATTGTCGCAATCTTAGTGAGATAGAGGTAGTAACTGACAGAGTGATTAGTATTTAAATAATACATTCAATAGGTAAAATAAATAATTTAGACAGACTAATATGCATTTAATTTATTATTATTAAATACTAACTTATTATCGATCGACTTACCTCTCTCGACTGAGTTGATCACCACCGCCATCCCATTAGCCGCATGCAACTAGTCACCACTAGCTCGTTAGGGTTGGTGGACGGCGTTGGACCGGTGTTTAGGGACGAAGTCCTCCCCCCTCCCCTCCCCTCCCCTCCCCTTAACGGATGAGTGTTGCGCTCTCAGGCGAGCAAGAGGCTCTCTTCTTCCTCGCTTTAGCCAACGTCATAATCGCTAGCGGAATTGAACTTGTGCAGTGAATGCATGCATTGATGGAGTGTATTCTGTAGTGAATTGAAGTCAATAGATAGTGTGATCATGTGCTTCTTTAATTTTCTCTTTCTTTCTTTTTGTTGTTCAATTACATCGAGTAGTAACACCAACATGAAGGGCGGCGAAATGACATCTGCGAAGGGTAATAATATAGGTAAGAAATAAAGTTGACACGAATATTGATTATGTTTTGGTCATATTCTCAAAATTTTCCTGATGGGGTTATGGGACTAGGCTCAGAGCCTAATCGGCCCAGGCCCCGGACTTGGACCAGCAGGCCCAATCCCAGTGATCCAGAGCTCGTTCCGGCCCAACCGATCAGGCCCATCAAAGAGTGAAAGCTCAAGGCGGCCTGCCTTCTAGCCCAGCAGGAAGCCTGCTTACCAGCCCAGTCAGCAGCCTGCCGTCCAGCCCAGCAGGGAGCCTGCCTACCAGCCCAGTCAGCAGGAAGCTTGTCTTCCCGCTCAGCCAGAGGCCTGCCTTCAAGCCCAACAGGAAGTCTGCCTTCCAGCCCGGCCAACGACCTGTCCTCTAGCCCAGCGGGGAGCTTGCCTACCGGCCCAACCGGAAGCATGCCACCCGAGGAGCTCAAGCGTTCAGCCTGCTAGCCAGGCCGACCTGCCAGCCAGCCAGGAAGAGTAACGGTCAACAATCAATGTGCGACTTAATTATGTGTTTAATTCCGTATAAATGTTGTAATTAATTTAGTCATTATTATGTTCGGCAGTTACCATGTGTAATCGCCTATAAAAGGCAAGTTCGAGTCAAATAATATATATGCTATTTCTGGCTACCAAATTCCCTTTGCGACTTTCCTTATTCATATTACTTTCTTGATTCCTGCTTGAGTGTCGTACGTAGCTTTCCTAAAAGCCTACGAGCGTCCTATTTTGGATCACTGCTGGGCTGGACGGCAGGCTGCTGACTGGGCTGGAGGACAGTCAGCAGGAAGCTTGTCTTCCCGCTCGGCCAGCGGCCTGCCTTCCAGCCCAGCAGGAAGCCTGCCTTCCAGCCCGGCCAACGGCCTATCCTCTAGCCCAGCGGGGAGCCTGCCTACCGGCCCAACCGGAAGCCTGCCACCCGAGGAGCTCAAACGTTCAGCCTGCTAGCCAGGCCGACCTGCCAGCCAGCCAGGAAGAGTAACAGCCAACAATCGATGCACGACTTAATTGTGTGTTTAATTCCGTATAAATGTTGTAATTAATTTAGTCATTATCATGTTCGGCAGTTACCATTTGTAATCGCCTATAAAAGGCAAGTTCGAGTCAAATAATAGATATGATATTTCTGGCTACCAAATTCCCTTTGCGGCTTTCCTTATTCATATTACTTTCTTGATTCCTGCTTGAGTGTCGTACGTAGCTTTCCTAAAAGCCTACGAGTGTCCTATTTTGGTTCAACATTTCCTTTTAACAAAAAATTCAAAATATCTAAACTTTAATCATATATTTTGAACTTTTACCGTTACATTTATTAAAAAGCCTATTATTATATTTGAAAAACAATACTATCATCTTTAATTTATTATAAAATCAATTTTTGTTTCATTTAAAGCTTTCATCTACTACTAGAGCAAAATGTATCCTACAATCCAGATGCATCTATTGAGCCAGTACTAAATAACAACATTGGAATAACAAAAGGGGATCTTCACTCTACAAAGTTTATAACTTGGATGAGAGCAAATCAAATTTATGAGGAGGCAACTACATACGTTGAGTTTTCATCTAAGTTCACATGGAATAAATTGAAAAAGGAGTGGTCACCGTGGAAAAAAGAGTTCACCATTGGGCGTGTAATCTCTGTGTGTCCTGCAGCAGGTGAGAGATACTACTTCAGAGCTCAATTGAATGTAATAAATGGGGCAAGAAGTTATGAAGAGTTGCGAACCGTGGATGGAAACATATATGAAACTTTTATGGATGTTGGCTATGCTCGTGGGACATGGGGTACAAAGGGATGACAAGGAATATATAGATGGCATTAAAAAGTCAAGCCAATCATCGATGGCACGATGGATGCATCATTTATTTGTCACTCTTGTCCTACAGAGATCGATGACTGTGCATGAGTCGGTGTGGGGGGAAATGATGAGAGTAATTATCAGAAGGCGTATTATACAACATTAAGATGAACCTTCATGGTCAAGGTACGCATAAATATTACTTATAATAGTTTAATGATTTTTGTGGTTAAAGATATATTCGTAATTCATATTCTTTGACTCATACATTACATTGAATATATGTGTCACCTCTTATAAATAGTTGGAATTGGACAAGGAGGAAATTCAGAAGTACTGTTTATTGGAGTGAAAAACTTCTCTAACAAAGGGGAAAATACCCCCCCCCCCCCCCCCCCCCCCCCCGATTCTTACATTTCTTCTATGGAAGACATTCTCATTCATGAAAATTTAAAGTACGACAAAAGTGATATAGAAGAAGAACTTCAAAAATTGTATAATGAAATGACAGATGGACAATGAGCTATTTACGAAATAATCATGGAATCTGTCGACCACAAAAGTGGCGGTATGTTTTTCTTATATGGACATGGTGGCATAGGAAAAACATTTGTAAATATATGGAATCTGTCGACCACAAAAGTGGCGGAATCTGTCGACCACAAAAATTGTATAATGAAATGACTGCAGGACATGAGCTATTTACGAAATAATCATGGAATTTGTCGACCACAAAAGTGGCGGTATGTTTTTCTTATATGGACATGGTGGCATAGGAAAAACATTTGTGGAGCACTTTGTCTGCGGCAATAAGATCCCGAGGAGAAATAGTATTAAATGTGGAATCCAACGGTATTGCATCACTCCTTCTTCCCGGAGAAAGGGCCGCACACACGAGGTTTGCTATTCCAGTTAATGTGACTGAGGACTCAACGTGCAATATAAAACATTGTAGTCCGTTTACTAGGCCACTTGAATAGATAAGACTAATTATTTGGGACGAGTCTCCGATGACGCATAAGCACTATTTTGAGAGATGTCCTTCGGTATTCACCGGAGTGTGGTGTTGCTATGCCTTTCGGTGAAAAAACTATTATATTTAGTGGGGACTTTTGACATGTATATTGCCAGCCAATGCAAAAGGCACGAGGCAAGATATTGTTTATGCATCTTAAAATTCATCATATTTGTGGTCGTATTGTAGGGTGTTGAAATTGGCAATGCACATGAGACTTGTACATGTGACCGAATCATCTAGCGTGGTTGGCATAGAGCGCTTTGCAGATTGGATTTTGAAGATAGGCTATGGTATTTTGGGAGACAATGAGGATGGAGAATCAGAAGTGGACATACCTACCGAATTCCTTGCTTCGATGCCATAACGATCCAATTGAGTTTATTGTTAATAGTACGTATCCAGATTTCTTGAGTCATAGGATCAACATTTTATATCTGAACTCTAGGGCTATTCCTGCGCATACGATTGCTGAACGAGACAAGATCAATGATTACATGTTTGGGCTTATTCCAGGTGAAGAAAAGACATACTTAAGTTGCGATTCAACATCTTCCTCTAACTCCGATAACGAGGTCCTTCAACACATACATTCTCTGGAATTTCTTAATTAGAATATAATATTCTAATTATATTAGTGTGCAAGTCATGAACTAAAGCTTAAGGTGGGTGTGCATATGCTGCTTATGAGAAACATATAGATTGCACTATTGGGTTATGCAATGGTACGAGACTCATGGTAACTTAACTCACGACTCATATTATTAGGACTTAGATGATGTCGGGACCAAATGCTGCTGAAAAGTATTTGATTCCCTGACTAAGTTTAATGCCTATGGACTTGAAACTCCCTTTCACGTTTCGACAGGGACAATTTCCTCTTATGATTGGTTATGTGATGAAGATTAATAAGAGTCAAGGACAATCCTTAGAAAGGATTGTCATATTATCGCGACGTCCAATTTTTACTTACGGACCATTGTACATTGCGATATCTAGAGTTACAAGTCTATCAGGATTGAAATTAGTCACATGTGACGATGACGGTCAACCAAGCAATACTGCTCAACATGTTGTTTACAAAAAAGTATATAACACTTTATAATTTTTTTCATATGTAATTTCTTAGATGTTAAATAGGGATGGCAATTTAACCTGACCCGATGGATACCCGCACCGAACCGAACCGGTCAAAATGGAGAAAACCGCTTTAACCGGGTAACGGGTACGGGGCGGGGAATACCCAATTTATGTAAACGGGTAATGGGGCGGTTATGGGTTTATACCTACCCGCCTCGTTACCCGCCCCGTTTAATTTGGATACGGTTACCCACACCATTACCCGACCCGCACAATTAACTTACATATTTTAATAGTTTATGTATTTATTATTTAATATATTAAGTATATATGAATAGTAGTACATTAGTATATGACACTTATTTCCTCTCTTTTTTTGAAAAATATTCAACTAATCGGCTATTCTTTTGCAATTCTGATGAGTTGATACTCAAAATTCATTATTTTAGATTTTTAATTTTCAATTTCATTCGTCATCCTTCCTGTGTTAACTTCTACAAGATTTATTTTCTTCACATATTGATTATTTGATTTTCATGATTTTGTATACACCATTTTCACATTGTGACTCTCTTATTTTTTAACATTGTTAATTTCTATAATTATAATATTTAAAATATAATTCTATGATCATTTAAATCTTTACATTCTCGATGAAATATTTTCCCGTGCAACACACGAGATTCAAATACTAGTATATTTTATTGGACGAAATCAGTGCAATATATACCTTTTCTATATAAGTTATTTTTGTCTCTCAACGCTCTTTAAAATGACAAGTTTTTTCTTCTTCTTTTCAATCATATGAATGACTACAAACAAACGTAATCATGATTGAGGAAATTGATTATGTTTTGGTCATATTAAAAAAAAAATCCCCTTATCAAAAAATTGAATATATCTAAACTTTAACCATATATTTTGATCTTTTACCATTACATTTATTGAAAAGCCTATTATCATATTTGAAAAACAATACTACTATCTTTTATTTATTTTAAAATCAACTTTTTGTTTCATTTTAACCTTTATGAAGATAATGGGAATCTTTTATGCATGACCTTAAACTTTTATGTATGACCTTTGAGCGCTAGGCCAAAATTATTTCATCAATCTATAAACAAAAGGAAGGAAAAATATAAATTTTCCTGCTAAAAAAGGTGAATCAAAATCGGGTCAACTAATACAACTGCAGTCGGGAGCTATCTGCTCTCTTTGGGTAACACGTCTTGATGGACGATATTGGAAATATTAATTTGAACTATCAGAAGATATTAGAATTGTAATCAGGGTAAAGTGAAAGCCACCAGAGATAATTGGTCAACCCCTTATCTTCTAGCCATTAACTTGATTTTTTTGGTTTCCTTTCTATGTTAAAAAGAAAAAATATAGAGTACTTCCTATAAAGTCAGCACGTGTTGATTTCTCTTGTATTGTAGTTGAAATCGACTAAGTATTACTCATTGATTTAACTATCCACATTTTGATTGTGCTACACACACACACACACCGTGTTTAGGTGAGCCAATATTTGGCCAAAGTCATCCTTCCTTGTTATCTTAACTTCATCCTTTGATTGTATTTTTTTTTCCTACCCATATAGACTATGAAATGACCTGCCGAATAAAAGATTCGTAAGGAGGACAAGTGCATATACAATTTTAAGAAGGAGTGAAAGAAAGAGTTCTGTTCTAGGGGGCAAATATGTGGAGAGGGTATTACTTTAATTCTATTTCTATTCGGGTGTGGTGAAAAGGGTAGGGGTAGGGTGAGGTCAAGTGTATTTATGAAAGGGAGGGTTAGACTCTAGAGGCGAAAAAGAATGAGATACAATGAGAATAAGGATATATGAACTAGAGAATTGAAACCGCAACGACCGGGAGAGATAGAGTCAACAAGGGGAGGAAAAATTAGGGGTGTTAATAACTCTTGATAGATCTGGAATTGCATTTAGTTTATTATTTACCCTCTATTATTTATCATTTGTATTATTATAACATATGAGACTATGAGTATATGAAATGTTTATTATTGCACTACTTTTCATTTCATTTTTATATATTACCGTAAGAAGTCCAATAAGGAGTGTTAATGCTTATGATTTGAGAAAATATTGTGTTACAGACTTACGATACTCACTAATAAGTTTGATTGTTGTACCCATAGGGATATGATTCGTCAATGTCGCTATTTCATCATTTATTTATGTTTAATCTACCTAATTGAATTATTTTAATTGATTCATGTGTACTTTGGAGATACAAAGTAATCGCTGATGATGCATGCATAACTCACCTATAAAAACACATAGATGTTTTTTAGTACAAGAATACATTCAATGAAGTTTTAAAATATGACTTTATGTGTTAGATTCTCCCCTCTCCATGACTGGATTCTGCAAGTCCAACTTTTGTGTGCTTGAATTGATGTCTTTTCCTATTTGTATTCATCAAGTCTAAGTTTTTGAATAATTTCACTATAAGTTTTTCAAAATTAATAAATCCGTCATTATTGAAAATGTCTATCTATATACAAAAGGAAGAGAAAAAATGCACATTCTCTTGCTAAGATTTACGAGTCAAAATCACGTCAGATAATACAACTATAATCGAGATCTATCTTCTCTCTTTGTGTAACACACCATAATGAATGAAGCTTGAAATATCATTTTGAACCATGAGATGAGTCAATTGACCAACCTCTTATCTTCTCTCCATTGAAGGACCACATTGTTATGATTTGACCTTCTATGGTAAAAAGTGGAGAATATGGAGTACTTTCAATAAAGTTAGCTCCTCTTGATTCTCTTGTAGTTAAAATCTACCAAGTACTCCCTTTGTTCCTAAAAATTCTTCCCGGTTTGACTTGACACGCTTATTAAGAAAGTGAAATAAAGTGGAAATGTATGACTGTGGTTGTGTAAGAAAAAAGTAAAATGAATGTGAGCCACACAAATTGTCCAAAATGGGAAAGTGGAAAGTATTTTTGGGAACAACCCAAAAAGGAAAGTGAGAAATATTTTTGGGAGCGGAGGGAGTATTAATTATTGATCCAAATATTTTCATTTGGTCTATCCTATATATACACAATGCTTGGGTGGGTCAATATTTGGCTGTGAGAATGTCATTCTTCCTAATCTCTTAGTTTCATTCTTGACTTAGAGATTCATATTCCAATAAATACATATCCACAATTAATTCTTCAAAACCATTTAGTATTCAATTAAAAAATACTATCATTATGAACTTGTAGTTCATAGTTTACTCAAAATTCATTATGAACATGGAGTTCATAAATTACTCCACTTGTCATCACGAACATATGGTTCATAGATTATTCCAATTCTCATTATGAACAGGTTCATAGATTACTCACATATCATAATAAACATGTAGTTCATAGATTACACAAATATCATTATGAACCTCTAGTTTATATGTTACTCGCATATCATTATAAATTACCCAAATGTCATTTACTTCAAAATACTTTCTAAAAATATACTACCTCCGTCCCGCAAAGAAGTTCTCACTTTCCTTTTATGGATGTCCCAAAAAGAAGTTCTCAATTCTATAAAAGGAATCCACTTTTGACCAAAAGATCATAACTACCCTTACTTTTTACCCACTTTTTGTTTGATTTGACGTAAAGTAAGGGTATACTTGGAAAGTCAAAACAATACTCTATCTTACATAAATATGTGTAGGTCAAACTAGGAACTTCTTTGCGGGAGGGAGAGAATATATTTAAGATCCCGGTCTCAAAATAATGTGCCAAGCATCTCCAAGCACCTCCTCCTTGGCCGGCCTTTATGCTAGGCTAGTATTGCACTCCGTGGTATGTACCTAACAAATTTGTTTCGAGTGCACCAGCATAGCTTATAGTTGTGTCAACACCCAGTCCATTAAACTTCCAAATGGATGCAAAGTTGGAATTTTTAGATGACGGAACGGGAGCAGGGACAGGCTGGGGGTAAATAGCGCTGAAAAAGAAAACTGAGACGTATCTGCTCCTTCTGACCTCTTTAACTCCTTGTCTCTTTAGCTCCGTGTCGTCCTCATTCACCGCTCAACAAAAGACAAAAAGGGAAAGGAAGTAAACGCAGAGAGCAGAGTTAGTTTAAGGGAAACCTAAATCCTGCTAATCTGCACAGTGCTTGCCTTTTCGATTCTTGTCAAAAACCAGTTTGGATCGAATTCCCGCTTCCTGGGACTCATGTACATGCAGATACAACAACACGTTACATCTTTATTTGAGTAAATAGTGCTGCAGTGGTGATAAACAAGACACAAGGGAATAAAGATTTGGGTTTTAGAGCCAAGGAATATGAGCAGTCATCTGGCACCGGCGGCGCCACTGCCCAAAAGAAACAATATGGTTCAGAAGAACCGCAATCCGTCAACTATCAGAAAACCGTCCGCTCAGTCTGAGAATGGGAACGGCACCGCTAACGGGGCCAACGTTAAACCCACCTCTCCATCTCACTCGTAAGTACTTATTGCGTGTGGGTTTGTACGTTTCTTTCTTTCATTCTTTGCCCCCAACAGAAAACGAGGGATACTGTAGTTTGCTCTTTTTCCTTCTCTCTCAGAGCTCAGTTTAAAATCAAACATCTGTCTACTCTGTTCTGACGCAAGCAGGATTAATTTCTTCAGATGCTTTGTTGATGTAAATTTTCCCACTTTGTACTTGCAGGTCTTTTAATGGGGAGAGAACGGTTAAGAAGCTGAGGCTGTCAAAGGCATTGACAATTCCGGAGGGCACAACTGTATCTGAGGCTTGTCGCCGCATGGCAGCTAGGCGTGTGAATGCAGTCCTACTCACAGATGCCAATGCACTGCTATCCGGCATTGTCACTGACAAGGTTTACTTTATGAAACTTTGGCTGTGCTAATTTGTTTTGATTAGTGTTTTCTATTGTGAGAAATATAAGGGAATGAGAATGAAACAGAAATGTCTATATTGGTAAGTGGGTGGGCAAGTAGATGGGTGGTTTATTTGAAAAGGTGTTTTTTGGTTCAGTTATTAACTTCACATTTTGTTTGTTTTTTCTTTTTAAATCTGAAAGGATATTGCTACCAGAGTTATAGCTGAAGAACTGAGGCCTGAACAGACGATAGTTTCAAAGGTCATGACAAGGAACCCCATATTTGTAACGTCTGATATGTTGGCTATTGAGGCTCTTCAGAAGATGGTCCAAGGTTGCATTCTTACCCTTACCTTTCTTCATGTGGATACTACCCTAGTAGTCATAGATTAAGTGTTTTCTTTGGTTTCTTCTAGCTTCCAGAAAGAAACCATCTTAGCCCTATGATCATTCTCATTTCAAATTGAATTCATTTTTCTGTGTGCCTGCCAGTCATTGGTTAGTTGATGCTTTCTAGCTGTTTTTGCATTGGACCATCATGTTATAGCTAGACTTGTATTCACGATTCATAGCTTCTGAAAGATCCTTATCAAACTAATTTGAATATCTAGATGACTAGATCTTTAGTTGGCCAAAATAGGCACATTGCTCTGTTTCATTTGATGATATATTAAAAATGATAATCATGAACTATAGTATTCACAACAGTATAAAAAACTCACTATAGGGTGAACAAATGTATCTGGAGTAAATCTGTGCCAACGAGACATGCTTAACAGTAATGTGCATTAGAGTTGCTTAAGGAATGTGGTTTCTTGGCCTCTTGGGATGTACGTAGTAGCTTTCATTTTCCAAATGGTGTCTTATGATTTGACCTTTGTCTATCGTTATAGAAATAGGTAAACTAGCGACTCCATCAAATACACGAGTTAGCAACATTGTACATGAATACACGATGAAATAGGGTAAACTAATGACTCTATCAAAGACACGAGTGAGCAGCTTTGTACTCTAATACACGGCGAAACCGTAGGCTGGACGATTCATGCGACATTGTGACCCCACAAGACTGACCCAGTTACATAGTACATACACAGTCAGATGATTTCAGGTCCTTGGAATGTTTCACACAAGAAAAGTCTTTTACTTCAAACCTCCAGGACACCCGTCTTAGCAACTAAGAAGCTGTAAAGTTCTAATTATTTGAAACACAAGCTTTCATGGAAGCCAATTGGCCCAATTCTCACAATGCTTTAATATATATATACATACATACATACATACATACATACATACATACATACATACATACATACATACATACATACATGCATACATACATACATACATATATATATATATATATATATATATATATATATATACTCTCTTAGTACAACATCGGTGATGAAACCAAATGTATTAATACACTTATTTTAGTGCTAAGAACTAGGAGGAAGAGACAAAGTTATAAAGAAAATTCCATTTATACTGATGATAGCGAGCCACTTATAAAATAACATTAGTTGAGGATGTCAGTACTCTGTATATGAAGACGGACTTCTAGTGAAGATGTTCAGTGTGAGCTATTTTAAAAAAGTGGTAGTGGTTCCCGTTAGCAACCCGATTTCAAAACTAATGTAAATGTCAAACAGAAACTGTTTGAATCATCAACAACTCTTAATATAAAACAAAATGGTTATTTTTGTCCCATAAATCTTAACTCAACTGTGAACAACCAAGAATGAGAATGTGAGCGAGTCATACCTTGTAAAGCCTTGGACGGAGAAACTGTGAGAAAATCATCTCACAGGACTGCAACATATCATCCCATTAAAAGTCTTTTATGTACGGATATTTCTAGGTTGCATGCCTTTATGTAGTAATGAGGTTTCAACCTCTATTCCTGTTGTGATACTATATGCTGAACAGAAGCTGACCTTTTTAGTTTTATTTCTATCTTTTTACTAGTTTTTATGCTTAAAGTTGATTTTTGTCCTCTTTTTTACATCACCTTTACAGGAAAATTTCGCCACCTTCCTGTTGTTGAAAATGGTGAAGTTATAGCTTTGTTAGATATCACAAAATGCCTTTATGATGCTATATCAAGAATGGAGAAGGCTGCAGAGCAGGGCACTGCTATTGCAGCAGCTGTTGAAGGAGTGGAACGTCAATGGGGAAACAGTTTGGCTGGTACTGTGGCTGTCTTTATGGAATTGAATCATGATTTCATTCAAAATTGTATGCTTGATATTGTTTTGCTTTTCCATGGATTTTATTCAGCCCCATCAGCTTTTGTTGAAATACTTAGGGAGCGCATGTTCAAACCTGCTTTGTCCACAATCATTTCAGAAAATGCCAAGTAAGGATTTCAACCCTCACTGTCTTCTTGCCTTCTATTTTTCACAATATGAATTTTTTATGATTGGTATAACATGACTAAGGTTGAACCATTGGTTTATATCAGGGTTGCAATAGTGTCCCCATCAGATCCTGTGCAAATTGCTGCTAAGAAGATGCGTGAGCTGCGGGTTAATTCAGTCATTGTTATAACTGGGAACAAGATGCAGGGAATATTAACGTAATCATTTTTATTTCTTCAGGCTTCTTCAATGTACCAAAGTCGGCAGTTACTATGACATGAATTTATTTCGGTTATATGCCATTCCTTTTTGTTTCTCTTAGAGTTGACATTTTTGGTCAGTTTCAGATTTGTAGCTGACAAAAAGTTAAAAGTACTTTATAGTGATATGACTTTTGAGTTACAACTTCATAGTGAAATGGACATGCTTTAGTTTATTTTTAATATTATATTTATTATTTTATTATAAGGTTCCTTTATAAGCATTAGTATTAGTTTCATATTGTTATTAGTTATTGTAGTTTCCCATTAGTATATGAAGATATGAAGACTTTTTTATTTAATATTCCTAGGTTAGAGTAACTCTAATAGTATAATGCTGGTCTACCATGGTCGGACACCACCTTTTCTTGCCTAGGGCAGAAAAGTTCATCTATTTTTTGAACTTCTTATTCTTATCTCTCAACCATGCCTGTAATACAACCATCCAACTAACATCACGCTTTGACCATTTATCTACCTATGCTTTGCATGTTGAGAATTGCTTAAATAGGTCCCACTCTCTTTGACCCATGGAATCGGCACATTTTGTACCTATTGTTTCATAGCTGAAGGATATGAGATATCTAATGCAAATTTGTCGGGATTGCTATGCAGTTCTAAAGACATCCTGATGCGTGTCGTGGCCCAAAATCTCTCCCCTGAGCTTACACTGGTGGAAAAGGTACGAAAATATTAGTGAATGAGTTGTTTTGATCCTCTGCCAAGGCCTTACCATAACCTGACAAAAAATAAACAGTGTTCTTTTTTAGGCTTGGCTGGTTGTTTGCTAGGATGAATAGAATATAAAATTTGTCATTTCTTTCTGAGAGCTGCATGTGTGGTCTAAGACTTATCTAAAAATGGCTACTTTCTTTGTCATGTTTTTTTCATGCCATTTGCACTACTTTAGTGCCATAATATGCTCTTTACAAACATTTCCATGAGATATTTCCTTTCATTACTTTCTTCTCTGTTGGTGTAGTCCTGCAGGGCGATGCCCAATACTCATTCTCATCAAGTATACACAATTTTCAATCTATAAATCCACCCATCTTGTTACATCTCATGTACCTCTGTGCTCAATTGGTAGTTTTGAAGATCTTAAATATCAAGAATGCGTCCACAAAACGTGACAGCAGTGACATATTATATGTTTGATGACGTTTCTTATCATTGTTGTAATGTAAACTATATTCGGCTATTTCTATTTCAAGGTAATGACACCAAACCCTGAATGTGCAACTTTAGATACAACAATACTTGAAGCTCTACATATAATGCATGATGGGAAATTTTTGCACCTTCCTGTTTTAGACAGAGGTTAGATGTTACCATTTTTGCTTTGTGTAGTACTTTTATGTGCTAACTGAGAAAAGTGGGGTTAACTATCAGTGTAACATTTTTTTCCAGAAGGAAGTGTTGTAGCATCTCTAGATGTGTTGCAGATAGCTCATGCATCAATTTCCATGGTAAGTGAACCAATGATGAGCACTTTACATCTTTGGTGTCCTATTGACCCTTCTATAAGTGATGAATGTTAATGTATATTACCTTGAACTAATTTATTAGTCCTATTTGTGACTTTTCCATTTCAACTACATGAAGCACAATCTGATCAACAAATGCAGCAGAAAATTAGTAGTATATTGATCAGAAAGTCCGATGAATTATCAGGATTACTCGAACAGCAATGGTGGAAATAGAAAGAAAGAGAAAAAACAGGGTTGAGACTCTTTTGAGTGGTCTTTCTTTCCCAGCCTAACCCCTTCCTCCTTCCTCAGCTACTATTAATACTACGTATCCTAGCATGAGGTTGCCACCTCAGCTATTTATTTACATTTATCCTACTCCTATTAGACCTTTTCTTTAATATTATTATTAATAGTACTAGTCTGCCCGGGTTCCTATCACAATCTTTCCCTTTGTTGCTGCAATTAGAGGACTAAAGGAATATTCGATGTGTAAATATTATTTGTAGTTTGAGCTAACACACATGTACATGTTTTCTCCAGGTGGAGAGTAGTTCTGGTACTGTTAATGATGCTGCAAATACAGTAATGCAAAAGTTCTGGGATTCAGCTCTTAATCTGGATCAATCAGATGATTGTGACACTCAAAGGTAAAGATAGTAATGCCCTCAACAACAATGTCCAAGCCTTAGTCCCTAAAGATTGTGAGCATGGATAGATATTGATTGTGGATTGCCGTGTGTAATTATGGATTGCCGTGTGTAAAACAAAAACAGTTTTGTGACCTTGAATTTTGTATAAAAAGTGTGGTTTGTGACTGTAAATTCTGCATCGATTGACTTTTATTATGCAGTGAGCCGTCTATGTCTGGAGCACTGACATCTGATTGCACAGAAACTGGGAGGTCTTCATATCCATCCCTTGGTCTTGGAAATTTATTCACCTTCAAATTTGAGGACCGAAAAGGGCGCGTACACAGATTTAGTTTTGGTGAGTCATTTTATTTTGTATATGTGGTGGCACTAGATTAACATATGGTCACATTCTAAATAGCTAGGCTGACTTATGAAGTTTTTTCCTGTGGTTGGTTGAAATTGTATTTCCTAATTAGAGGTACAATTAAACTTATTTCATTTAATAGGGGTACACTTCACCTCAACGCATCGCCATCCACTGTTTTGAGTTGTAATTCACGTATCAATTCATATCATCATTGCATCATCATTTTTGTACCATTTCATCTATTAGCTATAGCAATGATGATTCAAATGTTAATATTGTTGAGAATCTAGCCTGCATCCTTGATACATCTTACAATAAAGTAAAACACTGTATATGTTGTTTGACATGTTTACAATGTGATTTCATATCACTATTAATTGGAAAAGATCATAAAATATAACAAAATCCTTCTATACATTTTACCATAGTGCCTTAAAGTTAAATATCAAAGGACGGGAGTGGATGCAGTTAAACGGGTTGGTTTTTGACAAAAATACAAACACCAAAGCAAACTAGATCATTCAGGTTGGTTTGGTTTTTCGTTTAAATCGTTTAACCAGGGTTGGTTGGTTTGGTTTTTTGTGGTTCTTTTTTCTTTTCATATTAAGAAACAGTTCAAGAACTTATCTATTTGTGAAAAGATGGAAAAAAACTTCTGTACATCTTTTTAATATTGTTTGTTTTCAATTTATTGAAAGACTTATCTTTATCTTTTGAGTTGTTCATCCTATTCAAGCCAATCAACAATTTTAGTTACACTCTCATACTCTCATTCAAAGTTGTTCAATGCTTGTTTTTTTATCTTGGCTCTCATTATTATCTTCTTCATAATTCAGCCAGTTCCCATTATCAATTTGAAACCTCTGTGAAAGTGCTAGATCTATATTAACCTATCTAAATTCGACCTGGTTCTTAAGAGAACCATTCATGTTGTGGACCTCAGCAACATTAAGACTTAAATAATGATTGTTTGCGCATATTATCTCGGGAAGAACAAAACTACTCTTTCTCTTAAGCAATATTTTTTTCTTATAATTGTAAATACATATAGCGTACTCAAAAGAAATTTCTATACAATAGTCACAATTTTTTAGGAAAAGTGATAATTATTTAGAGTGACAAAAGAGTTCTGTATCTTTGTTCATTTGTTAAGTTTCACATATGCTTTAATGAATACAAAAATATATGCAAGTGCTTTTGGGTGCACAAGATTTTTACTTTGAAGTACGCAATGTCCATGTTCTGTTTGGTCAAATATGCAAGTACCAATGTCAATTTTATATAAACCCTAAAGTATGCAAGTACTCAATGTCCATGTTCTGTTTGGTCAAATAAGACTGGTTCTTTAACTCTAAAAAATGAACTAGACCAGCATTCTTGTAAAGTTTGTGCAATTATTTCACTTATCAGTTAGCACGGTGTTTCTGCTCATCATCATGTTAACAAATAGGGTGATAATTGCTCAGAGTTTATTTAATATTTTAATTCATGACAGTGGCATTGTTTAAATATGAAATTGGCCGCCCAAGAATAATGTAATTTCAATTTTAATTCATATCAATGCCGCTTGAAAAAATAATTCACACAAGTGGCACATCATTCTTTAACCTGATGATGTCAATAAGAAACATGATTTTTGGAATTGTTACTCTTTTGTGGATATGATTGCTTAGTTGCACATATTAGGAGTATGATTGCACATTTTAAAGTTAAATGGTTGAGTTCAATTTTCATTGTTCGTTGTGCGGCTTAATTGATCCTTATCTTTCTTTTTAGCATGTTCTGAATGTTTGGCAACTTTCCTAGTTTTCCTAAAATGAAATAAACACCCTACAGTGTTGAAGTAAATATGACAATGTTCTTAGTGGGATTGCTGGAGTAACATGTTATATCTAGCATTATCTTCCAGTTGCGTATTCTACCTTCCCTACTGTAGATATAACTTGTATACCCTGTTTTTAACTTTTTGTTATTTTTCACTATGATTAAACCATTTCAATTATTCCAGTTCATTTTATTTCCAAAATTCAGATTCATCATACACGTGTCTCAGGTTCAGAAAGCTTAGCTGAGCTAATTACTGCTGTTATGCAAAGGGTGGGGACAGCTGACGATCATGATCACCCACAACTTTTGGTAAGTGTTAAAGATGAGGAAAATATACCTTTCCTTCTCCCACATACTCGTTGCTCCATCCATCCAGATTTAATCTTCCTATTTTGGTTTAGGATGTCCTGTTGATGATAAAGTAGATTTCCTAACCATGTTTATTTTTTTTATTAACTTTTGAAATTCATATATGTAATAACTACACTAAAAATTTATTGAATCGCAAAAACTTGATTTCAAATACTACCTTCGTCCCAAATTGATTTGCAAATTTGACTTTTCTTGGTCAAACAGTTTCATTTTATTCGCTTAAGTAGGATGTCAATTTTTAGTTACTAGTATATTCTAATTTGGAGTTTACAACTTTGAAGAGATTTTAATGTAGTTTCTAAATATATAAATTTTAATTCTTAAAAATTGAATTAATTATCGATGCGGAGCATTGACTTTTATTATTAGTTGACCAAAAAATGTTGACTTTGCAAAACAATTTGGGATGGAAGGAGTATAATAGAAGTTCGATATGTAAAAACATATATTAAAAGAGAGTCAAGTGGCCTGCCGGAATAGTGAATGTGAACAGTGAAGATTAAATAGGGACAGGTTGTATTTGCTTTCTTAAGATGCCATTCCCCTTTTTTCGCTTATATATGTAGTACGAAGACGATGAAGGTGACAAAGTTCTGCTGACAACTGATATGGATCTTATTGGTGCTGTTTGCCATGCGAGATCAGTGGGATTGAAGGTGTGACTATGATCTATTTTTGTACTCCGCATTTGATTTTTACATTCTACCATAAATATATAAGTATAATGCTTCACTAGGAAAAAAATTCTTTCTCATCTTGTGAATTCAAATCTTTTTGAAGACGTAAGCCAATTTGTCTAATTCATTAGCTGCTGTTTTTTTAATTAAAAAGAACCACAATGATCTCATATGATTAGGTTCATTAGTTTTGTATCAAACACATATTGCAATTCATCTGATATAACATTCTTATTGGTGGTTGGACAAAATGACTTGACATGCAATGATGGAAATTAGGCAGGAGAAAAGCAGAAGGGAATTGTTCAATAAATAATATGAGTCTGGATCACATATTCACACCATATCAGTGTTTGTTAAGCAGATAAAAGACTATTTAAACATGGCAGAAATTGGGGTATATTAGTACATTCAAAAGTTACAACATAAAAAGCTATTCAACTCTAGGTTCTTTCTCCAAGTCCATAGGTGGGCCTCAACATATGACTGCAAGCCAACTCGTATGTTACTTAGTATTGAAGTTCCCTTCTCTGTTGCTGTGTTGCACACATATCAGAGCTGACAAAGCTGCTCCGGCAGATTACTTTCCATGGAAAATAGCAATACCTGATGGGAAATTATATGTTATTTTTAAATCTTTTGATGTGCCTGGATAGGCCAATTTAACATTGCTTCCATTTTAGATATTCATTCTATTAACTCATGCCTTTCATTTGGACCTGGGAAATGTATTGCTCTCTTTATGAGCCGGATAGGTGATTTGGCAACGATTAAGGATAAAACTTTGATGCATAGTGTGTGTGTGTGTGTGTGTGTGGGGGGGGGGGGGGGGGGCAGTAACAATAGCTGTAAGACTGGGATGGGGTAGGGTAAAACTAAGAAAAAGTAATTATTATCTAATTTACGTTACCTGTGTTTTGATAGCTTAGAAAGCTGTAACAATCTCCTTACATTTCTTCCAGGTCTTGAGGTTGCATCTGGACTTCTCTGATTCTTCTTACAAAGAGAGAAAGAAGGAAGAACCTACATCCACCACCGCTACAGTACACGCTGGACGGGTCCCTGTCCATGCTGCTATTTTGGCTGGAGCAGTTGTACTGACAAGCGTTGGTGTATTAACTTACATAAAGCGCTCAAATACGTGATCTAAGGGGAGTCGCTGATTTTGGTTCCAGAGTGCTCCTCATGCTCTTTTTTGTGAAATTTGTTGAGTATGCCTATACAAAGACTATCTGGTAATTGATAATGTCTGTACAAGTAGGTGGACAATATGCAGTGATCCCTGAAAGAGTGAAAATCGCCTCTCTGCACAAATTCCTCATTTCATAGCTTACTAAAAAACAGTAGAATGTGGTAATACCGAAATGTGCACTGCATTGTTCATTCCTCTCAGCATTGATAGGTATGTGGTTTTGTTAGTCATAATATGACAAAATGGTCTCACTTATTTTATGTATTTGGTTAAATACCAAGTTTGTCGACAACTTAAGCCGGAAGGTCAAACGAGTCTTTATACTCCCCCAGTCCCATAAAACTTGGCCAATGTTGACTTGTACGTAGATTAATAAAGTAAAAACTTTGTGGTAGATATTCATGACGGCCACATATTTGTTACTTTAAATGGAAATAACAAAGTTTTTTGGGATGACCAAAAAAAGAAAGTTGGCTAAGTTTTATGGGATGAGGGTAGTATATCATATAGGGATAATGTAGTTTTGTTCGAAAGCAAAATGTTCATGCGTGAAGCTCTGTTTCATTGCATGTTGTTCGAAAGTTTGCTAATGGTTGATTATCTCCTGATTCTGGAACTGACCGTGCAAATAGGGGTGGACCGGTTCCGGTTCGGGCCTGGTCGGGCCTCGGTTCATGAAAGGGGAGGCCCGGAACCGGCCCGGGTAACCTTGGGTCCGGGCCGGGCCTCGGTTCTTATATTTTTTTTTTGGCTTTTCCTAATTAACCCCCAACCCTCCCCCTCACCCCCAAACCACCCCAAACCACCTCAAATGGCCCATCATACCCAGCCCAACCCAAAAACTTAAAAAAAATTCAAAAAAAAAAAAAAAAATTGGACCGGACCCGAACCGGCCGGACCGGTTCATGTTTTAGGAGGCCCGACCTGCCTACCTCACCGGGCCGGGTTAGGGATGGACTCGATTCAGGTCAGGCCCGGTTCGGGCCTTGAACCGGTTGGGCCTCGGTTCAAGGTATGGGAGGCCCGGAATCGGCCCGGGTAATCCCCGGGTCCGGGCCAGGCCGAGCCTCGGTTATATATATATATTTTTTGTGCTTTTCCTAGTTAACCCCCAACCTTCCCCCTCACCCCCAAACCAACCCTAACCACCTCAAATGACCCAAAATACCTAGCCCAACCCAAAAACTTAAAAAAAAATTCAAAAAATAAAAAAATAAAATCTGGCCCGACCCGGGCCCGAACCGGTCGGGCCGGTTCACCTTTTGAAGGACCTGAGCCCGAATCGAGATCCCACTGGGTCGGGTGGCACGAACCGGCCAACCAACCGGTTCACCGGGCTGGTCCAGGTCCGCACAGTAGCGGGCCGGTTCTGGGCCGGTTGGCCCGGCCCGAGTCCACCCCTAGGCCGGGTGGATCGAACCGGGCACCAACCAGTTCACCGGGCCGTTCTGGGCCCGCACAGTAGCGGGCCGGTTGGCCCGGCCCGAGTCCACTCCTACGTGCAAATAATAGTTGGTTTCCTAAAAAAACAGAGTTAGTCTAAGCTTGTTTGGTTCTTCCAAAAATGCCTTATGAAAACCAGACATGGACCGTAGTACCGTACTAGTTATTTCTATTTACACACATGGCCTCCTTTGGACCCGTAAGTCCGTAACATGTTGGTTCAGTATTGAAAACTTGGTCTAATATAATTACGTTATTCTTTTTTTTGAAGAGGAAATCGTCTATATTGATATCATTAGGATTACGATCGTTACATCAATATCAAAATGATCAACATTGATTAAAACCTTTACCTTCTAACTACTACTTATAGTCCTACAATTAGACATAGAGATGACCACCCCTAAAAAGAAGCAATACGAATCGCTAACCACCAGATGAGTTTAATGCAGCTATTCCTGAACAAATAGATCCGTCCCCCACTAGGCATGGACTAGGGCCTCGGGCTGGCAACCTTATTTTATTTTCTAATTACTTCCTACCCCCTCCTCACCCCGCACACCCCAAACCCCTCCAAAACATCAAGCCCAACCAATTTACAATCCAAAGATTTTGAAAAAAAATTGGCGGAATGGCGGAGCCCGTCCCGAAACAGTACCAGGTCGGGTGGCCCGAACCGTACCGGGTGGCGCGAACCGGGCACGGACCCGAGTACCGGGTCGGGCCGAAATAGTACCGTGCCAGGCCAGTTACGGGCCAGTTGACTCGACTCGAGTCCATCCCTATCCCCAACTAACCATATCAAATCTAGCTGAAATCTCAGTTATCGTAATAAACCTAGTACTATGAACTTTAAAAAAAAAAAAAAAACGATAAGAACATAGTTTTTTTTTAAAAACTAAACCCGAATAAAACGAAATTAAAAAGATAAATTGATGGATTAGATGACCCATGGCAGCGGCGGGAACTCTAGTCTCACAGATCCTCCATGGCGGCGGTTCAGGAGGGGGTTGGATCATCATCACTTCATCTTCATCCTCCATCGATCGGATCCCATTCGCAGCCCTTGACGTCGTAGCCTCCGCCAACAAAATTTCGTCCTCATTAATTTGAGAAGAAACCATTCATAACATCACTATCAACATATTTAATCCATTTTTAAAATGTTACAAAATACAATTAATAATCTATTGATATCATATTCAATATTGAACAATAATTATTATTAGTGTATTTAAGCAGTTCAACATGTCACATATTTAAAAATAACACATTCTCATGAAATAAGTTGAACAATATAGATATAATTAAATGAATATAAAAATAAATAAAAATATTCAAACAACATGGATACAAAATCATCTATCCCTAATATGATATTGTTTATTTAGTCATTTTTTAATTTTAAAAATATATTTTGAAATAGACTTTCAGAATAAATTGTGTGCCTCGACTATGTAGATATCCCTATGTAGATACATTCATCACATGAGTGTATCACTCTTCACTCTTCAGCTACTCAGAGGCTCATCCATCGTGACTCACAAGCTCATGGAACAAGATGTACTGGTTTTTGGACATTAGTACATTATTCATTAGTCATTATGCTTATTTGTTTGAAAGTTACGTAGTAGAAGCCTAAGCTAAAAGCTTATAGCGGATTTGGGGAATTGGGCCTTTTTTTGTATTTTAGTATGTGCAACCAACTCAAGTATTAATTTTGGGCTTCAAAATTGTAATGAACTTTTACGATATTTTAGAATTTAAAGTAATTGTTGGGGTATGAAGCCGGGTACCGTATTATACTGGTATACCTGTTAGGATTGGAAAATTCTTCTATTCATAACGAGAACAGAATTACAATAGGAGGAGCAACTCTCTCACTCAACTATTACAAAAAATCAACCCTTTCATACACTCACTATATGTGTATCACTCTCACTACTTTTCTCTCCGATTTTTTGATACATTTGAACAATGGAAGAGCTTCTTATTTATAGGCAGGGCTGGAGACATATTCATTGATGTCCATATTGTAGCCCATGTCTTTCCATGCTTCTCTTTAATGGCTAGGGGATGTAGCACCACTCCATGGAGGTATGGAGGATGGAGTGGGCTTGATAGGAGCTGGAAGTCTACAAATCTCCCCCTCCAGCTTCTTCCGTAATTCTCTCTTTCCATGCTTCTCTTTAATGATGCTTGTACATAGCTCGTGCTTCTCGTGTGGTACCACTTTAGTTAGCATGTCTGCCTCATTTCTGTTTGTGTGTATCTCGGAGAGCTTCAGTTCATCTTCCTCAATTGCTTCTCTAAGCCAGTGATATCGTACATCGATATGTTTTGTGCGTGAATGATACATCGAGTTCTTGTTAAGATCCATAGCACTCTGACTATCACGATTGAATGATGTACTCCTCTTGAGGAAAGCCCAACTCTTGGAGAAAACGTTTTAGCCACTTGAGCTCCTTCCCAGCTTCAACAGCGGCAATGTATCCAGCTTCTGTCGTAGACAATGCTACACACCTTTGCAACTTGGACTGCCATGAGACAGCTCCCCCTGCTAGTGTGAATATGTAACTTGAAGTAGATTTTCTACTATCAAGATCTCCCGCCATATAAGCATCTGTATAACCTTCCAAGATTGGTTTCGCTCCCCCGTAACACAAACACAACTTTGATGTACCCTTCAGATACCTGAGTATCCATTTGACAGCTTCTCAATGTTCTCTTCCTGGATTTGACAAGAACCTGCTTACAAACCAACAACGTAAGTAATATCAGGTCTTGTACACACCATTGCATACATTAAACTTCCAACGGCTGAAGAGTAGGGCACCACTTATCATCTCCTTTTCTTTCTCAGAAGAAGGACAACTTTCCTTACTCAACTTGAAGTGATTGGCTAGCGGAGTGCCTACAGGCTTGGCACTATCCATGTTGAACTTGTTGATCACGCGTTCAACATATTCCTCTTGTGATAAGAACAACTTCCTTGCCTTGCGATCAAGAACAATTTTCATGCCCAAAATTTATTGTGCTGGGCCCAAGTCTTTCATGTCAAAAAACTTAGACAAATCTTGCTTCAAGTTGTTGATGAGGGTCACATCTTGGCCTACTATCAGCATATCATTCACATAGAGCAAAAGGATGATAAATTTTCCACATGTGAACTTCTTCAGGTACACGCAATGGTCTGCAACTGTTCTCCTGTATTGGTGTTTCATCATGAATGAGTCGAACTTCTTGTACCATTGCCTCGGGGCTTGCTTGAGGCCGTAGAGGCTCTTCATTAACCTGCAAACAAGATGTTCTTTCTTTGGAACTTGGAAACCTTCAGGTTGCTCCATGTATATTTCTTCTTTTAGATCACCATAGAGAAATGCAGTTTTCACATCCATCTGTTCAAGTTCAAGATTTAGACTCGCAACCAACCCGAGTACAACTCGGATCGACATCATCTTCACAACCGGCGAAAAAATCTCATCGAAGTCAATTCCTTGCTTCTGTTGGAATCCTTTGACCACGAGTCTTGCCTTGTGTTTCACAATATTACCATTGACATCTTTCTTCACCTTGAAAACCCATTTGTTTTTCAAGGCATTCTTTCCTTTGGGAAGTGGCACCAAGTCATAAGTTTGGTTCTTCTGCAAGGATTTCATCTCATCTCCCATGGCTTCCCATCAATTGGACTTGTCTTGATGAGATTGAGCTTCTTGAAAAATCTCTGGCTCCCTCTCACTGGTAAGAAGGATCCATTCAGATGTCGGGTATCTTCTTTGTGGAACTGTATCTCACGTAGAACGTCGAAGTTGAGCGCTGTCAGCAAGGCCTTCATGTGAAGGCTCCCCCTGCTCAAGAACTTCTTCATCTTGAGCATCATAAACATCTACTGGACCATCATTCACTTGTTCAATATTATCATTCACATCCTCGTTGTTGAGAGGAACGTGTGATACTACATGATCATCTTCAGGAGCATGTTGTTTGTTGTGTGTTGGAGTAAACTCATGAAATTGAGATTCATGAAAAACTACATCTCTGCTTCGAATGACTTTCTTCATTTCGGGATCCCACGACCTGTATCCAAATTCTTGATCTCCATAGCCGATGAAGATGCATGGGTTTGACTTAAGATCAAGTTTTTGCCTCAACTCCTTGGACACATGTGTAAATGCCTTGCACCCGAACACTTTGAAGTGAGAGTAAGAAATGTCTTTTCCTGATCATCTCTTCTCAGGAACTTCAAAGTTTAAGGGAATTGAGGGTGACCTGTTTATAAGATAGCAAGCTGTTAGCACAGCTTCGCCCCAGAATGGCTTTGGTAGTTTAGCCATACTGAGCATGCACCGAACTCTCTCCACGATAGTTCGATTCATTCTTTCGACTACACTGTTGTGTTGTGGGGTCTGTGGCACTGACTTCTCATGTCTGATTCCATGTTCATGGAGGTATGGACTATGGAGGATGGAGTGGGCTTTCCATGCTTCTTCTCTTTAATGGCTAGGGGATGGAGTATCACTCCATGGAGGTATGGAGGATGAAGTGGGCTTGATAGGAACTGGAAGTCTACGATACCGCGATATTTGAAAACATTTACCGTTACCGTACCGACATAAATCGGTACGGTATGATACCGTATCGAAAATGATGGTATACCAATATTGCGGTATTTTCTAGTATTTTTGCCCACCCCTGTTAGTTAGCAGCAACTTGCACAGGATCCGATGAGGAAAGTATTGCGATCTTAGTATCAACGAAAGCTACATGCACATACAGTTAGTTATTCATTTGATAGTTGATACCCATAAAAGAAAATTTACAATAGAAGGCAAGAAGCAGCGAGAGTTAAAATTCTTGGACGAAAGCTGAATATAAGCCATCCAAGTGAAAGGAAAACAATATAAAGTGATGATGCATATTTGGTATGAATGAATTCCATAAAGATAGCTGGCCTGCAGCCACGGTAATAAACAAATTGTTAATTTCCCCATTGACCGACGTTCCACTCCTTCAACAATTCTTCATGGAGCTTCACCATTTTCAACAACAGGAAGGTGGCGGAACTTTCTTGTAAAAATGTGTTTGAAGATCAACTTTAAGGATGATAATAAGTATAGGCGTAAAAAGATGCAAATTAAAACTAAACGGCCGGTACGCTTCTCGATCCTCTTCATATTAGCTTAGGAATTTAGGAGTATTCTCATCCTCACCTAGTGTTACTCTATAAATTCATTTTTAGGTGTGTAACTCCGTCTCTGGCTCCTAGTTCCTACTTCCTAGCACAGAAAATAATAATTAACCTATTTTTATTAAGAGAGCGAACACCGTTCTTCGTGTACTCATCAGAAAGTGCACATGTCAATTATGTATCCATTTAAAAAAAAATCTCTCTTTTTTAATGAATTGCCCGTATACACAAATAACTTGAGGAGCGTTTACGAAAACGTATACAAATGGCATGGCATGTTGAATCATCATACATTATTGTATGTGTTGCACTGGAGATTGATGTGGCATGAAAGGCGATGGCTCAAAAATGACTGGATTTCTCTTTATTAGGAAGTGAAATGAACAATCGGGTTGATAATGCACAAGTGTAATATAAATGAAATGAATCTGTCTTTATTAGGTTGCAATTTTTCTATTCTCCGTTCTAAAATGACTCTATCTTCGCACAACACTTGAAATTAGAACATCGCACCTTATTTTATGCTTGATTATTCCACACACAAAAACGTAGTGTATATTATGTGCCATATATTTCAATTATATATTAAGTCATAACCTATGGCGACTAACTCATGAATGGAGTAATATTATCCAGATTCTAGATCAACAGCCCCCATTTCTATCTACTCCACTCCTAACTTGGGGACACTAGTTGTCAAAAGGACGTCCAATGATCGACTGAGTATGATACATCTCTTCATTTGCCTCCCTAGTCCATGATGCCTTGATACATGTGCTTTCAGCCTTGTTTCCAATGCCACACCAAGCTGCTCTGCAGCATCTGTTGAAGCTACATTGGAGGCATAGTTGCTGCTGCTTACCATAATAATAATAATAATAATAATAATAATAATAATAATAATAATAATAATAATAATAATAATAATTATAATAATAATAATAATAATAATACTTATTGCCTCACCCCTGCACTGCAGCAGCATCAATGCCTTGAGATAGCCTTTCCCAAGGTAGGAGCTATGACATCAAGTTATGTTGACAGAGATCATCTATCACTTTCCCTGCTCTTTTCCATTGGGATGCAGCCACTCATTCCAGGAAAGTGAATGTAAGAGGGAAAGGGTATAATAAATTCGTTTTAACAGTCACTGTTCATATTCAACAATTTGTTTCGAATATAGGACCTAGATGTATTTTCTTCACTATTTATTGCTACATGTCGTTACAAATTTCTTCACCTCTGCACAGGTGGTTGTCTGTCTGTCGATTTCTTTCTTACCTTGAGTGACAAAAGACGTGAAACTTCATGAAGGCCCCCCCATTTTTCCAATGCACGAGCAATATCATAGCGGCCTGTAATAGTGAATAATAATGTATTAACCTAATCTAAGCACCAATAGCAATGGTTGTTTTAAGCACTTTTTATTTTATTATAAGAAATTTCCCAAAAGAAGGCACCTGCTCGTTCAAAAGATTTTCTGCTGGGCATATAAGTCAGATCCATTCCCCAGATTCTTTGGAATCGACTAACCTGAACAATTCATTCATCAAAGGATCGATTTTTAAACATGAGAAAAATGAATGCATTGTCATTATTTATGAGTAATGAGTGAATGGAATGAGATTTCCATTTAGCTTTGTTGAACAAGAGACCTCATCTTGCAGATTCTCTAGGCTATCCCAGTAACCTTTTGGTTTCCGTTGTTTGTAGGAAAGGGAGAGATTCATCAAAAATGCAATTCTTCTAAATCCACCCATTCTTGTAACTGCTTTCTCAATATCCACCCTTCCATGCTTACGCAATTCCTTTCTCATGGGCATAAATCCCCCATGCCCGTGCTCTGAAATAAAAGACAGAAGCTCCGCTCTTAGAACTTCCATATCTCTCTGCAATCCAGGAACTTTGGGTCTTCGTCTGATTGATTTCAAAGCAATGGGATTTGGATTCTTTTCAGCTGTCTGACTGGAGTCAGCAGGTAAGTCGTTGTCATGAAGAGTTTGTGCCTCACCATCTGCCAGTACAGCATTAGTCACCTCTCTTTTTTCAATGTAATCTCGAATAGCACATAGGTTTGCAGGGAGGTCTTCGTATATGATCTACAATGTCAGGAGGACTACGTTTAAGTGTCTTCTTAATCATGACCTCCATCCCAAAATTTAGCCGATTTCATTTAAAGATTTAAGGTACAACCTTACAACTTTTGAATTTTTTAAGCGTCCAACTTTTAAAAATCATTCATCCTGAAACTTGACTTATTTAGAGCACTTTTAAAGAAAAATAATTTTTGAAACAAGGTTGATACTTTGAGACATAGAAAAAACAAATAAAACTTTAGTCAAATTATATTATAAAAGGTATGGCGAACTCTAGGATAATACACCAAGAGTTCCATTCAGACATATATGTAGTAGTAAAACTTTACTAGTTAGAACAGAAAACAAGAGCGTGCATATAAAGGTTTGATCATAGAAGTGAAGAGAAACAGCTTAAATAAAGACCTCTTCCATAATTGCTTCAGATAGAAATGAGTTCTTGTGCATTTTGGACTCCACGCTATATTTCAATAGTATATGATGACTTCCTAGTTGCTCCAGGAACCATTTTCCTTTAAACGAATCGAAGTCCCCCTCAACTTGCTCAAAGCTAATCTCTTCTTCAGCCTTTTCACATAACTCTAGGATAACATGTGCATGAAGTGCCATATATAGAAGACCCTTGCATCCTTCCTGTAAAATGAGGGGTCATTTTCGGATGATTGACATCTGGCATGCCTATGTATTATATCCTTGGTACTTTAACAGGAGAAGAAATAGCATCTAAACAACAAATCAACCCGCCCCTTCAAGTGGTTAAGTAGTGACACGTGTCTTCAATAAGTACAACACTCTGGAAGGGCTTCTTAACTGTGATCCAACGACAAGCAAAAAAAAATCATAAATCTCATTTGACTCACAAGAAAAGGGTTTGGAAATACCTGAAGAATGCGAACTTTGTTATTTTCTCGTGATAAGATCCTACATATAGCTAAATTGGGAACTATCCTGCATATTTGAGTAGAAAGAAGTTCATCAATAGGGAACCTTCACAGCTAGCAACTGAACATGGATGCTGAATGCATTGCATAACATTTAGGTTTCTAAGACTTAGATGACAAAATAATTGCATTACATTTAAATTTCTAAGACTAATAGATGAGAAAAAAAAGCACTAATTGGCTACCAATATATTCTACTTAAACTCTGATTTATCTTTCTTGCAATGTATCTTTTTGTCGTCTTTGTGTTTATTTTATACTTCTTTCTACTTTCTAGTTTTTGTATGCACAAAATGCACGCCGACCTTTACTGAACATGTTCAGTAAATTTATGCAACAGAATATTGAAAGAGAAGCTGGACTGAACGTCAGTCACTTGGCAACGATCAAAATGAAAGAATGTCTTACATGGCTAAAGTATACTACGCTTTTACAACATAATATCAGTCCCTTTACAGAAACAGATGTTCCTCAAGACAATATGTATTTCAGTTTAGCATAGAAAAATCTAATGCTTGCATAGTGAGATGGAAATGAACACTGTAACTCATTGGAGTATTGGACACATATTAAGGCAACAGAGGCTATACTAGCAAAACATAAAAGGTATGGAAACTGAAAGGCTGAATTTCTTACTCAGGAAGACTCTCATAAGAAGTCAAAACACTCCACACATCATGAACAGGAGCCCTAACCGTTATGCTAGCAACAACACAGCGATGGACACCACCATTTTCCTTCAGTGGAAAAAATCAATTTGCCAGCAGGTTATTTTTGTACATAGCAATATGGTTGTCCACATAAAGGCATGGGGCAGGTGTAGGGTCAATCAATTACCAATAATCCATCAAATCTGCGGAGATGAACCTCATCCACCGTGCTTGTCCTGTTAGATTTGCATTGTTTCCCAAAAAGTCCCCAGTTACTGTTTACTTCACCAATAGAAGGTACCCCCCAGGGGGCAAACATAGCTTTTGTTAAGTTACCCTTGAGTGCACCAGTGGAGAGTTTATCCTTTTCAGGTGCCAAATCATCAGCATCTGTGCTTGATGAAACAAGGGAAGCAACAGAGTTTGCGCTCATGTTTGCACTGATGGAAATTGTACTTCGATTGCCAAAAAAATTGTTTTCGGCTTGGGAAGCTAATGCATAAAGATTCACAGGAAGGTCTGATCTGATAATTCTCTCCAAGAATATTGCTGGAAAGTTAAACCTTGGAATCACATTGACTTCATAACACAGCATAGTCAATGAAGATCTGAAAGAGAAAGTCAAAAGTTTTTCTTGTAAATGATACGGTAACAATTAAATGAAGGAGCTGCATTAAGATTTGATGAATGTGATGCTATCTAGGATACATTTAATGAAGAGAACTGCTAGGTGCTAACAAGAGAATATTACAATAGTCAAGCCTTTTGAATAAAAAGGTATATTGCACCTATGATCAAGGAACTGAGGAAGAAGCACACGTAAACTGCTTTTTAAAAAAAGTACTCCCTCCGCCCCCCTAACTTTGTCCCGTTTTACCTTTTCGTCTGTCCCATTAAGTTTGTCTCATACCATATTTGGTAATATTTGAGTGGTTAGAATTCATTCTTACTTTATTCACACTATCAATTCAATACCAACCACACAATTCTACTTTTTCTTAAAAATCACACCACACCCCTTTGTCCCAAACTTAGGGGGACGGAGGTAGTATAAAACAAGAGGACTGGGACCATGTTAATACAATATCAATCTCCTGATGGATCAATGACTGAAGCAACTATCACATGTCCTCATCTCATTATACTTCCAGGCAAGTAGAAAAACCTATGATGGTTTTGGGAAACAATCTCATTATCAAGGGAATCAGGTGTAAAACTTTGTCGTTGTGACTGTGTGCATAATTTGTGATCACAAATAACAGTATAGCACTATAACTATCTTGAGGTGCATAATTATCTAGTAGTATTTACTATTCCATAGTAACACAGTTAGAACCTTAGAGGCAACACAAATACACAATAATGAGAACACATTTGTTTCTAAGAAATATAAATTACTGCTATTTCCAAATATCTTCGAAACTTTCCTGAAAAGTGCATTCCCTTTCAATAAACGGGGTGATTTTCTTTATTTAATAAAACATGTTTGGAATTTTTAACAAAAGTGAATCTAAGATGTTTCTTTATTTACAAAAACAGCAATAAGCGGAAAGGTTGTTTTGAGAATGTTTTTGAGTTTGCCAGAAGAAAACATGTAGAATACAAGGTCAAATTGGAACTTAATGCGTAGTGTCACATTTCCTGTCAATATTAAGTTATTAACTGGGCCATTCCCCCTTTTCGTAAAAAGTGGCTACTGGCTACCCCCTATCCCCTGGTATATTAAGACTTTAAAGCAAAAGGAAATGGACCGGGGAAAGAATAGCTCTACTAATACATATTACCTTCCTCCAGATTTGACGGACCATTTACCTTCAAACTTCTTGAAGTCACCTTCAACCATGGAAAATCGGAGTTCACGCATACTTTCCTGCCCAGAGAATAGGTGATACTGGTAAAGATTAAGATAACAGTACTATTTTATGAAACATTTTTATTTAGAATTAAATAATATATAATATAAGCTAGGTCAAATAATTAGTGAATCAGTGTTCCTATTTTGTAACATACAATTAAACACTATAAAAATCAGTTTAACTCCCAATAGGATCTCACTGCACTTCGCTCACTGGCGGATTAAAAGAGAGAAGAAGAGGAAAAAACAAGGGAGGCAAGAACCAATCTTGCACTCAAACCAAGAAGTGGAAGGACTACTGATATTGTGAAGGCACCCTCCAACAAGAATGAATTATTTCTGACAGATAATAGAGGTACTAGCCCTTTAAAGCTTCTTCAATATACTGCTCATTTCGCAAAAAGGGAGGAAGTTATGAGGTTTACTAAAGATTTAGTTGTGGTTGTGTTGAAGCCTTGAGCCCTTGACCATCTAGGCTCTAGCCATGGCCTTCTTCTAAGGGAAAAGAGGAACAATCTAGCCATAGAGGTACTAGCCCTTTAAAGCTTCTTCAATATACTGCTCATTTCGCAAAAAGGGAGGAAGTTATGAGGTTTACTAAAGATTTAGTTGTGGTTGTGTTGAAGCCTTGAGCCCTTGACCATATGAGTAAAAACATAAACTGTCTGGCATGATTAGAGCGAGCTACCCCCCCCCCCCCCCCCCCCCCCCCCCCCGCCGTGGATTATTTCTTTCATTCTTGTTTTTCATTTTTATACAAAAATGAGTAAAAGCTATAGAAGGTCAAGTGTAGGCTTGTAGGCTTTGTAGCCCCGTTACCCTGACAAGCTCCCATAACTTGACGCAAAGCATGATGGAGGACCAAGATTGGTCAGGTTTCACTGGGAAGCACTAGATTAGGCAAGAATTAATAGTCAATGAAGAAAAGGCCAATATGATCATGGGATTGAAAGATAAAAACATTACAAAATAGTATGGATCGCTGACTGTCACATACTTTAAAATACAAGCATGGTGCTGTATAAAAACATCTCAAGACATTAAACCTAACACGTTTAAAAAGTTAAAGATGCTTACTGAGCTGATACATTCTTGGAGATCCAACACAACACGGGCTTCAATGTGCCAATATAATGCTTGTTGCACACCCCTCTGCTCCAACCAAATCCTTCCAGGATAAGGACAAGGAATTCTCTTGCTAACCCAACATTTTTGTTGACGTGAGAAATAGTGAGATAAAAAGGAAACTATCAAATTTAGTTTAGAACAGTGATTAGCTAATTTTCTGTGGTGGTAAATCTGTTACCTTATTGTTATTTGATTAAATAAAAGCTAATCTTTACAGATTTCAGAAATACATGCATACTTAAAGAATGTGAATTCTGTTTGGTTGCCAGAGTAGAGATAGCAAATGAGTCATGCATATTTAAAGAATGTAATTCTGTTTGAAGTGATGGCTCAAAATCTCCGGTAAGGAACTGATCTATTGTATATCAACTCCAATCCACCAAGGCACTAGTCCCCTGAGCAAAAATCACTCATGTTAAAATCCAATGTAAATATATCTACATATATTACTACCTCCGTCGCAAATTGTTTTACAAAGTCAATATTTTTTGGTCAACCAATGTTAAAGTTAAATCCTTCCTATTGATAATTAATTCAATTTTAATAATTATAATTTACGTAGTACATATTCAGAAACTACATATTCAAAGACTCACTATTTTTTGGCTTGAGAATATGATGGAATAAAGCAAAATGACTCGCTAAACTGTTTGCGCAACACTCAGTCCATGCAATTTTGGACGCAGTTTTCACTTTGGGTCATCCGGAAACAGTCTCTCCGTGCTTTAGTACAGGGGTAAGACTATGTACATCCAACCCCCCTACCCCACCGTAGGTGGGAGCTTTTGCGGCACTGGGGTAATGATGATGATATTCAGAAACTACATTAAAATCTCTATAAAGTTGCAAACTCCAAATTAAAATTTAATTATGAATTGATATCCTAATTAAGTGTTGTTGTTGATCCTAATTAAGTGAATAAAATGAATCTGTTTGCCCCCAAAACGTCAATTTTGCAACTCAATTTGGGACGGATGGAGAAACATATTAATTTTTATTTGGTTCTGTATCTTACTGATAACATGATACGATTCATAAATAAATAAAAATCTCTTGCGACTCAGGACTTAAATCCCAATTCAATAACCTTGTTAATATCCATCTCATTTCTCAAATAAGTAATATGAACACAAGTGATAAGTCAACTCGATTGACAAACACATGAGCATAAATGCTCAATTATTTTAAAGATGGAATCCAGTTGGAACGTAACTGAGTAATACGTAAATTGCCCAGCAGTGTTCAGGCTTCAGAACTATGAAAATGAAAATAATAAAGAAAAACAAGAGAGAAAGAGGGAACAAAGTTCAGCATCCATAGCAAAGATTCAACTACCAACCAATGACCACCGACAGCAACCACTGGATGGCTTGTAAGGTGTAGGGTTTTCCGAGTCGGGTGCATGCATGGGGAAAAAACCGTGTATGGCACCGACATGGCAACACCCGCCAACACCTAGTCAACACTGTGGGATGCCAAGGAGACTTCAGGCAAGTCGATCGAGCATGGCACAGCTCCTCCATCACTGGGACGTCTAGTCGATGTCTACGCATGATAGCTATGGTACAAACTACAAACTGATATACTTAATTATTTATAATTGACTCATGAATCATGTTTGACTTCAGCATAGAAGTATAAAAGTAATTAGGACTCAGAAATGATTTAGTTCTGTTGTTGAACTCCTACGTGTATACCCACTTTGTAAGTTTATGTGTTTAACTGTTTGGTGGTTAAGAGGTGTTCATTTCGGCTTTCTTAAAAGGGTGTATGGTACCCGAGCTTGTCATGGCGCATGGTGATCGCCATGGCATAAAGGCATTTTTCATGGCGCATATGGCGCTATGGCGACGACCATTTTTTCATGGCGATGGCGCATATGGCGTGCGCGCCATATCTCACCATTGACAACTGTGATGGTACCATACCGTTTTGAAATGGCAGGAGTGCAGGACGCCAAACCATATGAAACGTCAAGGTACAACTTGTTGGAATTTAACCAGACTGTGCCCAGCACTACCTTTGACAACACAACCATGAACCATCCATTCTTTCTGCTCCTTAGAATGATGGAAACCAATTTCAACCTCATGATCCCTTTTACAGAAATATAATTGGCGGTTTTTAGGTTGTTGGCCTCCAACTATCAAAATTAAAATCATTAATAAATTGTTGGATCCTTCTTTGCATCTTGAGTATATATATATGCATTTACTTCTCAAGTTCTCATACTTCTCGTCACCGGGTATGCCTAATGATGTTAAAAATATTTTTGGGCTCAAAATAAAATGAAGCATTTTTAAGATTGCTAGTGTTTTTGCTTGTTTTATAATTAAAGTGAAAATTTAAAAAATAATAATTCAATAAACCTACTATTGTTTCAAGGTCAATATATCTATCTTTAATAAAACAACAATGATCATATTTGATCTTCCTTTGCATTGCTCAAAGTAAATGAAACAAAAGAAAAATACTTTCCTTTACATTTACTTTCATGTTCCGAGTATTTCCAAGGATCCAAGCATAGCCTTAGTAGCATGACCTTAGTGTATGGAGGGGCGGAAATATCCAAACCACTTTAAAACTTCGTAGGGGGGAGTAAACAAAAGTTTCATTCAGTGGGTATCGTATCAAATGAAGGACATTATTTTGAAGAAAGGGAATTAAAAAGTTGGAGTGGTGATAATCCCTCTTGTATCACAACTACACAAATTTTGACTTTTTAAGTAAATATTAATGGTAGAAAGTCAAAGTGAGATTTAATTTTGAGAGGAGTGATGAATAGTAAAATACATTCATGGGATAGTGGATGGGCATTGTGTACCTGCTAACGAGATTGGGAACGAAATCTGCAAGGCGTTCGTAGTCGGTGAGAGCATCCCAGGCAGAATCAATGTCTGCATTGACCGAAATTTCAGCTTTGACTCTCCGTTCCCTCCAAGACACCACTTTCACATCACAATATAGCCATCTTGGGTTCTTATTATCATCGCCACATTCTTTATTAGCGCTATTGTCCCCCAATTTAGGAAGCCTGCGCTGATGAAGGTTCTCATCCAAGCTTCTAGTGCTGCACAGCGGCGGCACCAACAATCTTCTTCTGTCATGTCTGCCACTACTACCCGTGCGAGAAGTAAATGATGATAGTGGAACAGCCAGAATTTTGGGGCTTAGAGTGGATTTGGATATGAAATCAAAGGGTAAGTTTAAAGGCATTATTGCTTTAAGGGGGAATGGTGCATTGTGTGTTGCTGAGCTTGTGAATGGAAGAGTTTGGAGTGTGTAGCCTTGGTACGTTTTCAACAGTTAATTCCTGTCCAGAGATGAATGAGGGGTTCAGAATTAACTGACAATGTAGGGTCCAATGTAGAAATTAACTAAACGAATGTTAGTAATATCTCACTTAGTTGTTAGTGACTTAGTGGTAAGTACAGTCTAAACCAATGTACAGCTTTACACAGACCTAACCTTAAATTTTTGTAAATACTTATGAAATTCTACATGCTCTTACAATTGAATAATTCCCATAACGTTCTTTACATTAGTCAAGATCTCAATCTTGATAACCATGCATATTATGAATATTGAGCTCTTGTATGAGTTTCCGGAATCGTCTCAAAACATTGTGGAAGTTGATTTATGAGAACTGACACTGGAATGTACTCTCTGGGTTCTTTCTATGTGTTATCATTTGATCTTCCCAGCATGTCCTTAGTCTAACTGGTCTGCGAAGGAGCAATAAGAAGTGATGATGGATCAGACAACTTAGGAAAAGGTCACGTGTCACTCGACCGTATATGATGGTTTATCCTTATTATAGTTCCCCAAGGAGGTTAGACCAGAGGCAGTGTTTGAGTGTGTACCTTTGGGCTGACCCACTGGGATTGGAGCTAGCTCTCTTTGAGCTGTTCTGGACTAGCAGTGCATTGTATTTTGTATTGAGCCATTTTTTGACATCAGAATAATACTTTAGGAACAACAAACATCGTACTAAAAGATTATTTTAAAAGAAAATTAGTAATTTCGTGCACAAAATGTAATACTTTTGTACACAAGAATCTAGCACTCTTGTTTCCCAGGATAAAAGTAATGCTAATGAAATAAAGACGAATACTTTATAAGCAGTGTTCTTTTTCAATGGAAATCAAATTTTCCATTCCAGGGGCAGTACTTGCGAAGACAATAAAAGTACTACGGGCAACTTATACTAAATACAATGACAAACAATTGAATACAATGACAGTAATTAGGACGAGCTGTGTGTGCGTGTGTAATGTCTAGTGTAATACAGAGCTTTGGGTGAGGCAGACAAAGGACAAACCGTGAAAAACAGGTGGTTTACATGGGAATAAAGTGGGTTTCAATTTTCACGGTGGGGGTTGATGAGAGTCTAAGCAGACAGAGAGGGCCAACTGTGCTTCACGGCACTGCTGGCGCTTGAGGGCGGTGCCGCCACTAGAGCAAAGGCTGCGAACGGCATCAGACTCGGTGGGACATGCCTCCGCCACAAGACACTGTGCCAGCGATCGGTTCAGGTGGCGGCATGCAATCTCCCGGTCCAGGCCACCGCGGATCCGGCGGTGGCAATTCGTTAAGGCTATATATAGCTGATTGCATTTGTTCACGTTAAACTCACCCGAAGCTGACGGCGAGCCCGTGTGATCAACGGTGTATGGCATGCCGAATTGGGCAGAGATTCCGAACTACTGCAAACGTGTAAGACGTAAAGCCGATAAGATAGACTTCGATCACGTAAATTCAGTTGCTAAGAACACTTCCGAATAAATTAACCGAACCAAAATCTATAAACACAAAATCATAAACCGAATCTCCTGAACCTAACAGAAATCCAAAGTATTTGGTAACAATGAAATTAAATCATGAAGAAGTTTATGAAGTGACAGGATTGGCTCAAGTGGTTCAAGTTTATGAAATTAAATTAACAAGTTTGTGAAGTACCTCAATGGATCGATTCAGCTAAAAAGATGGATTAACTAATTCTGCAATTTATAGGAAAAAATATTTCTAAAATACTTTTTATTAATAAAATAAAGAAAAAATTATACGGAGTACAGTTTTTCTTATAGTTATTGTCCAATATAGAAGCAATTATAAATATAATTTCATAAATAGGAGTAAAATTTAAAACTATTAATTTTTTATCTTTAATACCCCTAACCTAATTAATTCTAAAATAAGACTTATTTGATCCTATTAAAATATAAAAAAATCTAAAATATTTTTAAAAATATTAAAATTATAAAAATTTAAAAAACCTTTAAAAATAAATAAAAAATAGATAAAGTGCATTAAAAAATAAAAAAAATGGAGGTCTTTCCTTCAGCTCCGACCACCACACAACAATGTCATCTCTCATCGACAAAAAAATGTCATTTTATGTAAAGGTTGTCATATTTCTTTGAAAATGCCATTATGATGGCACTTTTACTCTTTGAAAATGTTAAATTTTCTATAAAAAAATTGTCATCAAGATGACATTTTTAACAAATGTTGGCATTTTTTCCATTGATCGGAGTTGGTGGTGCTGAGAGGTTGTTGAGGCGGCGGTGGAGATCTACATTTTTTTTATATATTTTTCATTTTTTATTTTAATTTTTATAGTTTGTATTTAATATTTTTAGTTTATTTTTTTATTTTTATTAATTTTATTTAATACGGAGTATATTTTATTTAATATATATTATCCTTTTTTATGATTTTAGTATAAATTATTTAATATTATTTCTTTTACGTTTTAATTATTAATGAATGTTGTTGGGGTTTGTAGCTTGGGTAGAGGTTATATTTGTCGAAACATTAAAGTTACTCCTATTCAAAACATGGTACTCTTATTTTTTCATTCTGTCTATGTTTTACTTCTATTTGGGGAATTCTCTCTTTTTCTTATTATTACACAATTCAGTGTCCGAAATCAAAAGTTACGTGTTTGACGAAAAGTTGGTTGATAAACCAGATAAGGGTTACCAAACTTTCACTTTTTGTAAATAAATTTGTGATTTTTGTCATTTCTCTATCCTCTAAACAAACTTCAATCACATACCAGTAATTTTTATTTTATTATTTCTTGTGTCGGTCAAATTTGAAATTTTTTGAGAGACTAAGGGATCACAACATTTTCGATAACTCAATAAATCAAACCGAATCAAAATCTATAAAAACCGAATTGCTAACTAACAAATAATAAAAGAAAATTGTTTTTCTTCTAGAAATAGGACTGCTATATATGTTTTAGGGTTGAAATATGATAGTAAATATCATCATATTAATCTCTAGTATTGTAATTATTTGACAATAATAAGCATCGTAATTTAAAATTGCAAAATTTATGATGATGAGGACGACGACAACTAAAAAAGAAACTTTTGACGTCCTAAAGTCACGACTCACGACAGACTACTCGACGCCGTTAGTTGTTTTTTTCATTCTTCAGCTCAGAGCCTCCGATAACGGAAGTGATCGGTTTATTCTTGACACGTTATTGCCTATGATGATCATGACCGCTCTGAAGCTAGCTAGAGCATTTGGGAATAGGAGGAATCATACCTCAATTGGCGTTCAGGATATAATAGGACCAAGATTTCGGCGCTTGCTTTCTTCCGCCGCCGCTGAAGGCTACGGAAAGAGGTTCGCCGTTCTGTGGGGAAACGGAGACTTCGGGAGGCTGGGATATGGCAGCATTGAATCGCAGTGGAGTCCTAAACCTCTGCTGCCTTCCGCTTTTCATGATCAAAGCCTCCGCGACATCGCTTGTGGTGGTGCTCACACTCTTTTCCTCACAGGTTCGCTTGAACCCTCAAGCTCCTAATCATAAACTTAACTCCCAGTGATTTTGGTCTTTTAGTTTGAGCAAATCGAAGTACTTGATTGTTTGATATAAAGATGAGTTCCATTTTTTAATGCCTGAATGAATTATCTATAACCCCAATATTCGTAGAGGCTAGAATGCCCCTAGAAGATGCCCGAGACAAATATATGCTGAAAGTTGTCAATTTGTAGGGGAAAACACCACTTTTAATTTCTGGTTCCCTAATCTGGGATAGATATGTTGAAACCTGGTTTGAGCCAGCATGGTTAATATTATATTTTCGTGGGATCCGTTTGATAATATGATAAACAATTGATATATTTAGAATATACTTTCAGACTAGATGAATTTAGCATAATACACTTCTCAAAACCAGTTTGGGTGGACTGAGATATTAATGCTCAAAAATAGTTACTTAAATGTAATAAAGGAAAGGTTGAGGATGACTTAGAACCAGTTTGTGTAATAATCAAAATAAGTAAGATTGAAGTTACTTTTCTGGCTGAATTGGTTGAAGTTACGGTAGAGTAACATTTTAGCTATATTTTCATATAATTTTTTCTTTATTTCATTAATAAAGTATATTTTAAATATAATTTTTCACAAATCTACCGAATCAGCCAATCTAGCTACTTCAACCAGAACTTCATAAATTTCAGCAGTATCAGCTGATTTAGCCAATTTCAATGTTACCAAATGGGCTCTTAATGCTCATCCCACAAGGAAAAGTTCTGCATACATTCCATACTTAGTTTTATCTTGATATTTTCTTATCTTCCTGTAAGCTCGTCATGCTCTTTAAGTTTATTGTGCTACTACGCGAAGAAGTTGTTATATTTTGGAAGAAGATTTTTGGTGAATTGAAGAGCACTCTACTGGGCAAAATCGTGTTAAAGATAAAGGGTTGTCCCTTGCCTTCTCTTATCACCAGCATCAGATCATCCTTGCAGTTCTTTTCTATTTTTATTTACAATTTATTATTATACGTAGTATTAAACATTATTCTGCATATACCTTACAATGTACATCCAACACAATATTGATATGCTTTTCAGCCTTAGTTACCCTAAACTGTTTTAGACTCTTTGTGATAATTGATTCTCTTATAATGTTTGCATAGAGTTTAACTTCACCCTTCAATGGTTTGAGACATAATTCATTCTTCTGTTTCTCTTTTGGGATTTCTACTTGAAATAACTTCTCTTTTACAGTTTTTTATATGTGCAATGGGCTATGCGTTCATGCTTTATGTACAAATGTGAACATAATTGTTGGAAAGTTGTTACTCCCTCCGTCCCGCAAAATAGTTCCCAGTTTCCTTTTTGGGCCATCCCAAAAAATAGATCCCATTTCCCTTTTTGGAAAGTTTTGTGTGGCTACCATTCATTTACCTTTTTCTTACTCAACCACAACCATACATTTCCACTTTATTCCCACTTTCTTAAACTCCGATCCAAATCCTAATGGGAACTATTTTATGGGACGGAGGGAGTATATTCCGTTTTGGCAATTGCTGGAAGCCTGGAAGATCGTCAAGTGCATTTGTAAGAGATACTCATAAACTAATAGTCCTTTTTGACAGAAAATGGCAGTGTTTATGCATGTGGTCTCAATGATTTTGGACAGCTAGGCATTCCAGATGATAAAAGTTATGCCACTGTACGAGCTATCATTCCCTGTCTTTCGTACACTCATTCTTTTGAATCTGGAGATGTGGGCAACTTGTATTTTGAAAGGAGATTTGCAACTTTATTTAAGTTCAAATATTAAAAACTTATCTTATGGGTTAGTACTGTAGTTGCTTGTGTTGGTATATGGTTTTTTAATTATACCATATTTTGTCCGTTTTATTACTTTATGTATCCTATTTTGATTCCTAGCCAGTTGTCTCAATTTAAATTATAAGGTATAGCCATAAATACTACTCCCTCCGTTCCCAAAAATACTTCCCACTTTCCTTTTTGGGCTGTTCCTAAAAATACTTCTCACTTTCTCATTTTGGATAATTTGTGTGGCTCACATTCATTTTACCTTTTTCTTACACAACCACAACCATACATTTCCATTTTATTCCACTTTCTTAATAAGCGTGCCAAGTCAAACCGGGAAGAATTTTTAGGAACGGAGGGAGTAATTGTCAAGTGTGCTCATATGAAATTACCAGTTTACCACTAATATGCATTGACTGTAAACTTACCTAAAATCACTGCTGCAGGAGCCAGTCTGTGTTGATTCACTCCCCAAAGACATTGTAAAAATTTCTGCTGGTTATCATCATTCTTGTGCTGTTACAGGTATGTTATAGGGAAAAAAAATTCTTTATCATTCTTGTGCTATCAGTGTCCTTAAGGACTGGAGAGGGCCTAGATCATTTTATGAACATTTTAAACGCTTTAATGATTTATCTTTTCTATGCATCATAACATAGACTTGCATATCAAAAGAAGAAAAGTTGGAGTCTGGCTTCAGATTTTCCTGAACTTCACTCAACTTTGTCTGAACCTAGTCATTTCCCGAATCTTTTGTAGTCACATTTGAGTTTCATGTCTGTGATGCTCATTATATCATGTTTGCAGTTGATGGTGAACTCTATATGTGGGGAAGGAACTCGAGTGGACAACTTGGCTTTGGAAAGAGTAATATTTTTGCTTATGAAACTTTACCCCCTAGGTTAACTTAGAAGTAATTTTTACTGTCACTGGAAAATTTAATACCAGATGATTATTTTAATAATGAAAAAAATGTTGAAATAACTTAACCTGTTTAATCTCACTGTAATTATCTCCAGAAGCCAATAAAGTAGTTCCATTTCCGAGAAAAGTTGAAAGTTTGAATGGGCTACCTATAAAAGCAGTCTCCTTGGGTCTTGAGCATTCAATTGCTGTTACAGGTATGAGATATTCTTGGCATCTTGAACATGAAAAATATACTTTTTCCACTGTGCTATTGATGCTCACTTTTAGTTAATATAGAAAGAAAATGAGTGCATGATATGTAACTTTTTTTAGCAGTTCATGGTGAGGCCTTGAGTTGGGGTGGGGGAGGCTCTGGACAACTTGGCCATGGACTACATTCAGGAATTTCTGGAATGTTAAAAAGTAACAGGTCCATTATGATGGTTGATAATATTACAATGTTACCTGAAAGGAACATGATCTTCAGTTTCTAGCAATTGGATCCTACCTTGCTAGTCTAACACAAAATCTTCTATATGTTGGTTTATGAAAATTTGTTAATTGGACCCAGAACTACTTCTTACCAAGAGAGAAGGGTCTGCTTTAATGAAGTACCAAACATTTATCTTCCTTTTCCTGTCTTTACCATCCTTGAAAGCTAGTATCCCCGTCAAAGCTTTGCAAATATTTTGTTGCTTGTTAATATCTTACCGACTAAAGAAAGCTACCTACTTAATTATTTTTTGATATTTTAAGAATTTTACACTATTTCCATCATTTGCAATGGAGCCAAAGATTCATTATTTTTTGGCTTGAGATTATGATGGAATAAAGCAAAATGGCTCACTAAATTGTTTGCGCTTCTTTGTTATGGAGCAGCAGTCAGTCCATGCAATTTTGGACGCGATTTTCACTATGGGTCATCCGGAAACAGTCTCTCTGTGCTTTTAGTACAGGGGTAAGATTGCGTACATCCGACCCCCCCTTACCCCACCCACCGTAGGTGGGAGCCTTTGCGGCACTGGGGTAAATGAAAATGAAAATGATTAAGAATTTTACACTAATCTTTTGTCATAATTCTTTTACTAGATCATTAGAGAGGATATTGGTGAATGTTTCCTATCTCGCAGCAGCATAAGAGAGGAGATTATCTAAATGGGTTTGTGCAGTACTGATAGTAAAGGCATAGGTTGAATTTAACTAGAATTGTGCCTTCTGTAACAGATTGGAAATATATCATCATATTGTTGGCTAGGAGAAATCATTTTATCAACACTCTATTGTAAATATGCTTAGATGCTTTTACTCCGAATGGATTCTCATAAATGTATGCCATTGTATTTTAGAGTGTAAAATGGAATTTACAATTTTATTATTCCCTATTGGAAGAAAAATAGGGAGAGAGGGATACAAATTCTGGTTCTGGACAGGAATGAACTGAGAGGACGGAAGAAATGACATTGTTCTCTTTATTTTCTCTTTCTTTACCATTTTATCGTCTATTCCTCTTCTAAGACAATTCCTATCGGAGTAAGCTGAAAAACATTTTATGTTTCGTTTCCCATCACAATTTGAAAATTAAAGTTTTTGACAGTATATTTTCCACGTCAATTTTCTTTTGGGACTAAGGCTTGGATGTTGTTGTTGTTGTTGTATTTTCCACGTCAATTTGTTACTTGTTAGAGAGGCACAAGCATGAAGTCCTGTAAAGCACAGCACTGTGTTAAAAAGATCTGCTTGTTAGCCAATAAAAATAATAAGACATCGAATGATGTGCCTCCATATGTTTTATGAAGTACTCTCATGTGATTTGTGGCTGTCTGTCAGCTCTGTGTCTTCAGAGTAATGTTTAATGCCAAGTCATTTAGTCTTTTGCTTCTTCGGAATGCAGTGAATATGCACCGAGGCTTATAAAGAAGCTTGAAAGTATGAAGGTACAGCAAGCCATATAAATGCTAAGGCATTTCAGTCATTCAATATCCCCTCTAAGATCAGCATATGCCTACTAGTAGTAGTACTGGGTATTCATCGGATCATCTACGTGAGTGACATTACTCATCTTTAAATAGGTCAAACAAGCTGGTGCTGGGATGTTGCATTCTGCCTGCGTGTGTGGTAATGTTTTTATCCTCTTTTTGGATGTACTAAAATGCTATTGGAAAGTTTGGAGAAACATTGTCATTTTTTGTTCCATTATATTGATTAACCTTGTCATAATCCTACAGAGAATGGATGTGTATATACTTTTGGTCAAAGAGCAAAGACAAAATTTGTAAGTGTCTAGAACCTAATGACTAAGCTTATATTTAATATTTTTGGTTCCAGGTTTATCATTTACTTTGACTATTGTCCGCCTAATTATGTTCTCTTAATAATGTAGGGCTTTGGGGATGCATACTATGATATAGAACCATGTGTAGTATGTGAGTTGCCATCTTCAGAAATGACTGCATGTGGTGGTTATCACACGTGTATTGTTACAAGTAATGACCTTCTTCCTTAATCTAACAATGACTACATGGTAACATGCGATGAACCAAATGTACTTTCAACTCTTGTAGAAACCAGATAATCAGTAGATATAAGGCTTTTTACATAACCTAATAATGTTCTGATGAAGTACCCCACCAAATGTATGTGTGGTCAGTTTTCAAGAATGGTTAGAGAAATAACTATTAAACTAACAAACTTTTCTCTTCCATGTTGATTTATTTATAGAAAAGTTCTTCAATCTGGAATTCTGGATTCCTTGCCTGTTGTTCTCGAGAAATAAATTTCACATTTTCCTGAATTAATAACATTGCCTTTTTTCATATAACAAAGTTTCTAGAATTACTTAATATGTGCTCGATCCTGGGACCTGGGCATCATTTTGCTCTCTCTATAAATCTGGTTTGCACTATATTTTGTTGCAGGTGGTGGAGATCTGTATACATGGGGCTCTAATGAGAATGGGTGTCTTGGAACTGGGTGCGTTGTAAAATAAGTTATTCTCATAATCTCATCAGATATTGGACATGGCTTATGTTTCTCCATTAATTATTTATGTGCATTATATCCCAGTTGTATGACATTTACCTATGTCTGCACCAGTTGTACAGATGTTACTTATTCACCTGAAAGGGTTCAAGGTCCGTATATGATGGATTATGTTCACAAGGTCGGTTACGCATTTTACTTTGCACTGTAGTTGGGAACAAAACATTCTTATCAGACCTTGTCATGCTTTTCGCTCTTATTGTTGTCAAATATGTCACTTTTCTTTTGTTTTTTGTAGTTTTCTAAATCAGTGTTGTCAGGGTCTAATTAGGATATGTGGACCTACCCTTTTTACCTAATCTCATAACTTAGTTCTCAAATTACCCCGTAATTATGTTTTCCTGATTCGCCTTGTAATGTGACTATGAGTTATGGATGGAGTGATGGACAATAAAATTGTTTGAATTTTTAACATCCATGCGATCATGCCTGAAATTGTATCCTTCTGCTATCCTAGTCATCATGTTTAAATTGAGGAATTCTAGATTGAGATTTTGTGTAATTGTTTTCGTAGCCCAATTAGTGAGTATGGAAACTTAACACACACAAGGTTCTTTCGATTTCTCCTACCTCTTTGGTCATGTGAGAGCACAAGCCCTTGCTTACTTCAAAACAGGGGATCAGAAAAGAGGGAAGGGGAGGGGTTAGAAACAAAAATGGTTTAAAAAAAAGATGGTTGGCTTCAATAAAGGAGTGTAGAGGAATTAGCAGTGTGGTTAATATGTATTTTATTATTCCCGAATTAGCTTTTCATTTGCTTTTGACACGCTATTAAGAAAAATGTCAACCACTTAGTTTTTACATTAAGGAAAAAGGAAGATAATTTTGAGACGAACAAAAAGGAAAGCGGGAAGTTCTCTTAAAGGACGGAGGGAATATAAGAACGGAGGAAGTATATTAATCTACAGATATCACAAGGACAATGTAGTACAATTTCGGCTACTCAAAACAAAAAGACAAAGTGAAAAAAATTAAGAATAAAATATCTCCCTCTAAATCCTGAAAAGGAGCATGTGTTTGCATAGCCACCATAGTCCCCTGCACGTCTATATATCAAAATAAGAAATCATTTGTTTGTCACTAGATGTTGCATTATTCTTTTTTTACAGGTATCCTGTGGTTGGAAACACACAGCAGCGATTTCTGGTAATTCTATTGGATTAATGATTAAAAGTCTGCTCAAATTTATACGGCTTACCTTTTATTAAAAAAGAACATAGGCACACCTTCGAAATAAAAAATATGATTGTTTCGAACCAATTACTTCTATTGTCCATTTTTTATTCTCTATCTTTTGCTTTTCAGATTTCACTTTCCCTCTTTTTTTTGTTGTTTAATGTTATCCATTTTGTAAATTTTATGTTTACTAACACCTAACTTACACACTCATTGACGGTGATGGTAGGGTGGTTGGTGTGGGCACTATTACTGGTGACAATTATGGGCAATTGACTCAATCACTAGTAGTGACCATAGTTATGTGCTTTTGGTGTTAAGCAGCTACTATGTGACCAAAATGATACTCTGGGTGATGTGGCCACTGCTCTGTTTAATGTTTTGGAAGATACTAGAATGTTTTTTTTTCTAAATTTGAAAGGAGAGAAATATTGGAGACAGTTCCAGAAAATGCGAGAGTTTTTAAACTTTTTTTTCTACTTTGCCATCTTGTTTTTCTGAAAATAAATATACCTTCAATAATTTGTAGGAGAATAGACGTCAAGTTTTGGGCCTTTGCCTTTCTTTCTTTGATAATTTTGTTGTAGTGTGATGTATTGAGAGAGTTGAGGCACTGTGTCCTCTCTCTTAATGCTTTAGCACATTGTTTTCAATTGAGGCACATTGTACATTTTTTCCTTTACTTAATAAATTGTAGTTTTAAATAAATACGTAATAATTACTAAGTCGGAATACCGCTCTATCTTCATGTTATTGCTACTTGTAACTTATTCTTTCAATTAATTCAATCCTTCTGCAGTCAAATTTTGACATCAAATGAACAAATTCACATGTCAACTGTTTATTAGTTTCTAATGAAGCACTATTTGCCAATTTAATATATTTTTATGTAATGATAAGTGAGCCTTAGTATCGTGTTACCAGGTGGCAATGTGTATGCATGGGGATGGGGAGGATCCTATGGGACATTTTCCGAAGATGGACATTCTTCGGGCGGACAATTGGTTTGCGTTACAAACTTTCAAATGAAGCTACATTGATTCTTTTATTTTTATATATATAACCTAGTCACACTCTACAACATAACACTGTTTAAATTTTGCCTTTTGAAAGTGTTACGGTTGTCAAACACTACTTTGAGTATATGTAACATTGGATGTTCTTGGTAGTTGGTCCTGCTGATCTTGGACATTTTTTGGCTTCATGTACATCCCTTCACCCCCACACCCACACCATGTTTTTCTGATTGCTTTTAGTGTGTGGGTGTATTCGGCATTGGATTGAGGTGTTTTCTTGTGCAGGGGCAAGGAAACGACATTGACTACATTGAGCCTGCACTGGTTAACTTTCAGGTTGGCGTTAGAGCATTGCAAATATCATGTGGATTTAATCATACTGGTGCTGTAGTTGAATATACATGAACAACAATAAGCTGAGGAGCCATTCATCTTAGAAAGGAAAAAAGAAAACAGGTTCAGAGAGTGCACATCAATATTAATTCTTTGCCAATAAGCCAATTTTATACAAACCATATGAGTCATGAAGGACTATAATTCATTCCTTAGACTTCATCAAATATTGTGTGTTGTGCCATAGTAATCGTATAGGCTCTGTGTATGTATTGTATTTGTTCCTCCAACTTTCCCACCGCTCGGCCAACTAAGCTACCCATGGAGGTGTATGTATTGTATTGTACTAGTATCTTTATCCGTGTCGTGCACGGGATAAACGATTTCAGGGGCGTAGTCAGGATAGAAGCTTGGAGTGAACCGGTATAAAACAAATTTCAGACAAATTTTTACACATGAACTTTTACACTAAAATATTAATAAAGCTTTCTGATATGTTTTTGATTCTTTTATCAAAACATGATTATAAAGCAATTTAGCAGTGAAAAATCATAGAATAATGATTCTAACAATAGGTATGTAGCTCTCTTTTACGTGTGTTAGTACACGAAAGAGATTTTGCAAAGATGCCATAGGGAGACGAGTTTGAAAAGTGGGGAGAAAAATTCATATGGAATAATGAGAAAGTGTAACTTTAGATTGGAGGAATTGTGTATAAGAATAGTGAAATTGTGTTAATTGTGTTTGGGTAAAATTTCTTTAGGTAGGAGTCTAAAATTTATATATGTAGTGAAATTGTATTTGACTACAATTGTGTTAATCTGTGTTTGAGAGAAAGTATGTTTTCACATGTCAGTTCGGTTGAAATCTTCATGCCCGGTCTGTCAGGTCTGTTTAAGTCTTATCTAGAATGATTTCATATGAACTGATCTAGTACACGTTTGTTCAATGTGTACTTTGCAACTATTAATTTCTTGACCTGGTTTGATCTAACAATAGTTGTAGTAGCACTTAAAAAAACAGATACTTTTGAAAGTGTTTAAATATGTTTTTATCTTTATATATTCAATATTGATATCATATGAAAGATAATAAAAATTTATGATTTTAGATATATTCTTTGTAACAATCAGAGTACAAATAAAAAAGTTATAGTACATATAAATTTAAACAAATAGATGTTTTTGAGTTTTAAATTATTTACCATTTTTTGTATATTCAATATTGATGTCATTGAAAGATAATAAAAAGTTATGAAATTTGATATAATTTTTGTAACAATCAGAATACAAATGAAAAAGTTATAACACTTAAATATAATATGAGATTTTATTATGGTGGGGCCCTAAATAATTGGAGTTGTAAGTAGCATTAGTACCATTTCTATATTAAATACTCCCTCCGTCCCATTTAAATATTTACATTTTCCTTTTTGGGACGTCCCATTTATTACTTTACGTTTTTAGGCAATTCTTTTTATATTAAATGTCATAACTGTCCTTCACTATTCATCCACTTTTTTACATTTGAATGGATATCATTAATTCCCCCAAAAGTCAAAGGACATGCAAGTCATTTGTTCTTCTATTAATTGAGCTCCTAAAATACTGTGCCAAAAGCAAACGTCAAGTTCTGTCCGGGAAAGGAGTATACTACTACTATGGTACGCAGCATTACCTGTGAGCTAATTTTTAATTTGGAAAGTTATTTTAAAACAATAATTGTGGAGTTTGATACTCCCTCTGTTTCAGTTTCTTTGACACACTTTCCTTTTTTGGCTATTTAAAAAAGATTGACACACTTTCTTATTTCCTTAATTGGTAAACAAATCTTTACCAAAACAGTGCCAAACGGTGTTCAAACACTGCCAAAAGTGTTCAAACAGTGTCAAACAATGTTCTTTGCAGTAAAATTTACCTCTCATTAACATTTTTTCCTTAATTCTTGACAAGTCAAACTACGTCAAAGAAACTGAAATGGAGGGAGTATGTGGCAACACTTTCCTTAATTGTAGCCTTAAAATGTACGGAGTATTATTTATAAATAAACCACATCAACTTGTATCTTGAGAGAGCTCCACCAGGGCTGATTCCCAAAATGGTCAGACCTTTGGGGGGACTTTTGAGCTGAAGGTAGATTTGTGGGTGACATAAAAATAAAGGCTAGAGCATATATAGTAGAGCAAAAAGGAGTAATAAATTATAAAAGGACAGATTGCTAAGTTTCCTGGCATTAAATTTCATTATCTAATTATAGGAGTTGTGAAACTCATAATGAATGCAAGGAAATCCATATGAAGTACTCTATACTCTCATTACTGTGCTTAAGTGCTTGTTTGATTTGAGGATTTCGGAGGTAAAAAATGTGAAGGGTTGATTTTACTAATTTACTTTACTAATTTTTCTATATATGTTAATTTTAGTCTGGAAATAGGTCAAATAGGTGCTCAGTTTGTTGTGATCGGCATTTAGCTGGATAGTACTCCCTCCGTCCCATAATTTACTTCCAACTTTCCCTTTCGTCTGTCCCAAAAAGAACTTCCCTTCTCCTTTTTGGCAAATAATTTGTGGTTCACAACAATTCTTACACATTCTTACACATTTCTCTCTCCTCTGCACAACTCTCCACCACACAATTCCTACTTTCTTAATCCGTGTGTCATTTGTACTATGGAAGTAAATTCTAGGATGGATGGAGTAATTTTTTATATAGTTGTCATTTTCTGACTAGGTGTAACAAGGTCTGGGATTTGGATTGTCCCTGTCTTGAACGTTACATAAGACAAGCCTTTGTTCTAAACATGTCCCATGATCACTCCGGATTGGAACGATTTGAGATGGTTCACAGGCTATCACAGCGTCCCAAACAACCACAAAAATATTGATTAGAAAGTGATCTTAATTGGAATTTTTGGGAGATAGTCTCCAAAGTGAAAATAATATCACTTTTATCACTTTCAAAAACTTCTTTCAAAAATAGATTAATCAAAATTTTCTTTTTAAAAATAGACTCTAAAGCTCTAACACTGTAACGGTAAACTTTACTCGTACGATTTGTTCTGTATCCTACCACTTAGGGAAAGGATGAATATTGGGAAGTGCTGCAAATATGATACGACATACAGTTGTAAAAATGCTACAAGTATGTAAACTTTTCCGAATATTGAGCAAATTTTTAAAAATATATAAGTTACATTTGAAATATAAAAGAGAAAAGTCTAAACATTATAAAAAGAATAAAGTAGAAAATTTTATAAATTCAGATAACTCAAAAATTATATTTGTACATTTCTAAAAATTGAAATAAGATTTAAAAAATGAAGAACTCAAAGTAAAAATAAACGAATAAAATATCTGGAAACTTGTTAATTAATAATTACAAAAAAATAAAATGAAATTAAAATTTTACAGAAATTAGAAAAATAAGTTCATAAAGAAATATTAAAATAAAAAACTTGAAAATAAGCATATAAAAAGTTCAAAATAGTTAGAACAGTGGGAATTGTAAAAGGGTACAAAATATGATTTATAATGTAATATTTTAAATAGATAATATGGAGTATAAAATTTCTATAAAAATAACAATATCAAAATTTTTACAAAAAAGTATAAAATAGTTGAAAAACCAATAAAATTAAAATTATTAAAGAATACGTAAAATAAGAAAAAAACGTTTTAAAAATATTTAATAATATGAAAAAAGTATTTGGAATCGTATATGAAAACGTAGTTATTTTGAAAAATTGTTATCTCAATTTTTTATAAATCCAGATAACTCAAAAATTATATTTGTACATTTCTAAAAATTGAAATAAGATTTAAAAAATGAAGAACTCAAAGTAAAAATAAACGAATAAAATAACTGGAAACTTGTTAATTAATAATAAAAAGAAAATAAAATGAAATTAAAATTTTACAGAAATTAGAAAAATAAAAGTTCATAAAGAAATATTAAAATAAAAAACTTGAAAATAAGCATATAAAAAGTTCAAAATAGATAGAACAGTGGGAATTGTAAAAGGGTACAAAATATGATTTATAATGTAATATTTTAAATAGATATATGGAGTATAAAATTTCTATAAAAATAACAATATCAATATTTTTACAAAAAAGTATAAAATAGTTGAAAAACCAATAAAATTAAAATTATTAAAAAATACGTAAAATAAGATAAAAACGTTTTAAAAATATTTAATAATATGAAAAAAGTATTTGGAATCGTATATGAAAAAGTAGTTATTTTGAAAATTTGGAAAATATACATATTAAAGAAAATGAAAAATCAAATAAGTATATAAAATTTCAAACCATTCGAAAAATTAAGTTAAGTATTACATACTTAACATCATGTACTATGATACCTTCCAGGGTCTCGGCCTGGACTAAAAGAACTTTATCCCGGTAAAAACACACTCTCATTACTGTTTTACAAAAAACTTAGTGTGAGCAAAAAGGAGTGTAAATTATAAAAGGACATATTGCTAAGTTTCCTGGCATTATATTTCATTATCTAATTATAAGAGTTGTGAAACTCATAATGAATGCAAGGAAATTCATATGAAATACTCAATACTCTCATTACTGTGCTTAAGTGCTTGTTTGATTTGAGGATTTCGGAGGTAAAAAATGTGAAGGGTTGATTTTACTAATTTACTTTACTAATTTTTCTATATATGTTAATTTTAGTCTGGAAATAGGTCAAATAGGTGCTCAGTTCGTTGTGATTAGCATTTAGCTGGATAGTACTCCCTCCGTCCCATAATTTACTTCCAATTTTCCCTTTTCGTCTTTCCCAAAAAGAACTTCCCTTCCCCTTTTTGGCAAATAATTTGTGGTTCACATAAATTCTTACACATTCTTACACATTTCTCTCTCATCTGCACAACTCTCCACCACACAATTCCTAATTTCTTAATCCGTGTGTCATTTGTACTATGGAAGTAAATTCTGGGATGGAGGGAGTAATTTTTTATATAGTTGTCATTTTCTGACTAGGTGTAACAAGGTCTGGGATTTGGATTGTCCCTGTCTTGAACGTTACATAAGACAAGCCTTTGTTCTAAACATGTCCCATGATCACTCCGGATTGGAACGATTTGAGATGGTTCACAGCGTCCCAAACAACCACAAAAATATTGAATAGAAAGCAATCTTCATGGGAATTTTTCGGAGATAAGTCTCCAAAGTGAAAATAATATCACTTTTATCACTTTCAAAAACTTCTTTCAAAAATAGACTAATCAAAATTTTCTTTTTAAAAATAGACTCTAAAACTCTAACACTGTAACGGTAAACTTTACTCGTACGATTTGTTCTGTATCCTACCACTTAGGGAAAGGATGAAGAACGAGGGCCAGCCCTCGAAGAAGACAAACAACACGCCGGACCCAAATGCACCCTCGGCCGGAGGCCCAGACCATGGAAGCCACACCCAGCCGGGCCGTAACGAA